TTAACTTTCATTTGGCAGTCTGGCTTCGGACTGGCAGAACAGCTCTGTGTGTCATTAAGAGGCTCTGTGCATCGTCAGCTCTGCATGGCCCATATTTGACTTATTTAACTCCGAGAGGCAAGAGTCAAGATGTGCGGTTCAGCCGGGTATAATGCTCCTTTTCTGATCCTCGGATGTGAGGGATATTTGATGTACTCTAGTGAATAAAAAAGGAAATAACACAGTGAAGGATATCAGCTTGAAGCCCCCGAAGCAAGTCTTCTTTCATCTAATGCTGTTAAACTGAATGGAGTGAATGTCAAGTCGCAGGATATCGAAGAATCTGCAGCTGAGTCAGGAGAAATGCGTCGTTTAATAAAATTGGAAAAAACACAATAAGGTGGAGTGTGGAGTTTGGGCTCGAAGTATTAAGCTAGAACGATCCTGTGTAGGTAGATTCATGTCTCTAAACCTGTGTAGGCAGACCCTGAGAATGCAGAACATGAGATTAATTTGAATATATTTAATTTCATAAAGTGAAGTGTACACCTGAACCAATTGACAAAAGATCTAGATTTGGCATTTTTCACAAAAGATGTACGTTTTGAGGCTTACAACATGTTTTTGATGGCTTTATTCTCAGCATATAACCAACTCTACAGGATCTGGTAGACGTTTTATTTTCTTTGAAATCGATAAAATATGTTAACCGTGAGGCATTATGTTCATTAGACAAGTCTGTGGGAGTTTCATCTCTGCTTTAAAGGTCAGCAATGAGTCCTCTCTGCTGATAACTAAGCTGACAGTAGAGCCATTATTAATAAAAAGCTATTGGATGTATTTCTTCCTCTCAACCATTTCTGCTCTTGAATAATAATTATTTTCAAATGAACTCCTCAGGCAGCCTTAAAAACAAGCATGTGGGTTTCAATGATATATTAATCTATTTAGCAACTTTACACTTAACTACTAAATACATATTTCACATTAATAATCTCTTTAACATTCCATGAAAATAGACTCACGGCTTCATTGATGGTAGGAAAAATACTTTGAGTTCCACTTTCCGAACATCTAAAGCAGTGGTGACCAACCTTTTCAAGCCCAAGATCCCCGACTTCGCGAGGCCTTGGTGAAAGGCGAGATCTACATATGGCTGAATTGAGTGAAAAGGACGGCCCAGACAGTGCTTCCAATTTGAGGCCTTTTATGTCGGCTAATTGCCTCTGAATTACATCAAATCATTTGGTGCAACTTCCAATTTGATTAAACCAACATGATGATTCAGCCTCTATGGAGATAGACACATGACAAGCATGATCATTTCTGACGTGGAGCTAATCTGAACTAAACATTGAATACTGCTTTCTATTCCTCCATCTTGTGACTGTGTAACTCCCTCTCTTGGATATCAGCATGTGAAGGACACTGTTCAGGAACTAGTTGATGCTCTGTATGTGATGACTACTTCCATTCTGGAGAGGATCAGAGATACATGGATCCTGAGATTGAAGCTCAAGCCGGGGACCAGGGATATTTTTCTAACAATTGTCTAGCAGAGGAGTGAACGCTGCATGGTGGTTCAGTTCTTCCCCGCCGGGCCACCAGAGCCTGGCTTGTTTATTTCCAGCTCAGATTTGTGTCTCCTGTGGGAGTCAGACCTGTAATGCAGATACAGTGAAACGGGAGAGAGGAGGAGGTGCTGATGAAGTTGCAGTCGTGTGGCCTTTTGCATCAGCAAAATGAGGCGGAGAGCCCCTCAGGACCAAATACCAGCATGATGATAAATAAGACTGCTGAGGCTCAGGCCAATGACACAAAGGGCAAAGGGAGGGCAGGTTTAATGCGAATAAAGCAACTAGATCATGCAGCGTTTTTGCTTTTAAGGAATCAGGGTTGCACAGTGAGTGTTAGAGACACTTTTGTTTGAAGATATAATCCAAACTTTAAGGTTACTAGTTGTATTTGGGTTTTCTGTTTGAATATAAGCTCTTTTTTCCACTGCCTTATATTAAATCAAATGGCTTTTCATATCTAAAATTGCTTTGTATTCTTGTTTACTTTTCTCATTTAATGTTAGCTTGTTTCATTTGTATTCTACTGGCTTTTTAATGGCTGTTGATAATGTGTTTCTGATGCCTTGCAATTGCCTTGTGGTGAAATGTGCTATAAAAATAAACGTCATTCTCCTTATAGATGTCTGGGACACTTTTAGCTTTAGTTAGCACTCCAGATGTATGCGCACAAGCACTAAAAAGTATGTTTTCTTTTATAAATCGTCACATTGTCCTTGACCTGAATCCCTACAAGCTCCACTTGAGCTATTCTTTACGTTTCTCTGCTGAGAGCTCGGGGGGGGGGGGGTGGGGGGGGGGGGGGGGGGGGGGGGGGGGGGGGGGGAATATAAGCTGGGTAGATTTTGCTTCAGGGATCAATAAAGAATCCAAAAACCTGAGAGGATATTTTGCTCACTGATTCACCTAACAGCATGTCGGAAAGTGTTGACTTGAATCCATCTGAGATACAAAATAAGTTCTAAAAGTTCGTATTTTCTCTGCTTGACATCCCTCTAAAAAAAAACACCAAGCAGATGTTTCGCTTATTGCCGACAATTAATGTCTGCCAAACTCCGGGATCTGATCACAGGTGGCTGCAGAGATACTAATCCTGAAAGACACGCACACGCACACACACACACACACACACACACACACACACACACACACACACACACACACACACACACACACACACACACACACACACACTCCCACGTCAGACAGCGTGCATCTCGCCAGCTCTCAGTGGGGGGGTCTGATCTAAAAAAGTTGCTGTGATGACAGAAGCTGCAACCTGTATATTTATGTGTGTGTGTGTGTGTGTGTGTGTGTGTGTGTGTGTGTGTGTGTGTGTGTGTGTGTGTGTGTGTGTGTGTGTGTGTGTGTGTGTGTGTGTGTGTGTGTGTGTGTGTGTGTGGTCTCCTTCTGTTTAATTAAACATGGATCTGTCCGGGGGAAGAGAAGACAGACGGCTAAAAAAACAACTCCATCACACTTTTTTGGGAATACCGATCTTTGATGAATCTAAAAGGACGTATCCACACATTCCTTCCTCTTCAAGTGTTCAAATTAATTAACATATCTATTTATAATGGGCAGAGACAGGTGGTTTCTACACTTGATCTTTACATCTAAAGGACTTTAAGTGCACAGAAGCAATTGTTAAACACTGTGCAATTAACACCTTATCAGAGTTAAATCAACTATATCAAAAGGCAGCAAATGTGTCTTTGATGGGAGTATGTGTGCAGCTTTAATACAAGTTAGCCAAAGCTGTCCAAATAAAGTGCTCTCCAAAAAAAATGGAAGGTTTCTGCATGTAATTACAACTCTGGTGGCCCCAATTAAGTCCATGTCTCAGTGAAGGAGGACAAGAGCTAGACGAAGAAACAAAGCTAAACAAAAAAAGTAAGTGAATGTAACTGTCTGTAATCAAACTCCCACTAAACACCAGTAAAAACTATCTGGTGCTCGCTGAGTCTCTCTCCTCCTCACACATCAGAAATACCCTGGCAGCCAAAGACAGACGTTCCCTTTTGGAGACGAGCCTCTGAGATTCCCTCGTGCTCGTCATCAGTTTCCTTTTCTGAATCCAGGACGCATTCCCAGGATGCCTCTGTGAGGAAAATGGTCGCGGCGCAATGACAGAAATACGACAGCTGCCATCTGATGTGTGTGTGTGTGTGTGTGTGTGTGTGTGTGTGTGTGAGGAGCAGATGATAGGTACGACTGTTACATTGCTACCTAATGGGAGGATAGTCTTTTTATTTGGGTGCTCAGCGGCTACTAATGTGTCGTGGGTAATTATCAGATAGTATATATCCTCCTGAGGTTGCAAGGCCATGTGTGGGATGTTCCATAAAGCAGGCGGTGTGTTATTTAGCTTCACAATGATCCATTACACAACCTGTGGGAGGCAATATCTTAGCTAAATGTAAATAAATATGTTCTTTGAATACTTTTTCAGCATTTAACTGAATTATTTCGAACAAATTGCATGATTTGACATCTTATAAATGTATATATTGTATTTAGTATTGTGGATGGTGCTGAATATATTATATCAAGTTATTGTATATGTTATGTAAGGCTCATCTACAAATAAAACATAGGCACATTTGAGTGCTCAGGGCCTATAGGATCTATTTATAAGGACCTAATGAATGTAATGTATGCATGTTTACATTGATGAAGGGCTTGCTATAAGTATTTTCTAAGGCCTACATATGTATTTATTAATGTTGATTTCCCATCAGCCGTGTATTTGGGTTTTCTACGGATGCATACTGCGATATTAAGGAATATATCTTTCTGAAAATGCAGTTATCTACCCATGTATTGGATGTATTCTGGGGTAAAGGCCTTACATCTGAACCACACAATTAAAACAGCCAGGATTAAGGATCATCTGTTTTCTTTACAGCATCCAGAAATCTAATCTTCTGCCAGAAATTGTGAAGAAGGACCGCAGACAAACCAACAAGGGATCTGTGCATCCACAAGACTCTGACCCATATTCCTTAATCCTTTTTCAGAGAGAGACACAAGAAAAGAAGCAGCTATCAGGTTCATTCTCGCTATATTTTTTACCAGGATTGCAGATGAGTATGTGTGTGGAAATAGCACCAGAAATAACCCGGGCATCACATCATTCTGTCATGAAGAAGAGCGCTCGTATTTCAACACTTCCTTGCATCATCCAGGCAGCTTTTGTGCAGAAATAAGCCTATTCATATGTGAGTGATTACTGTGTGTGTGGCATTAAATATGTCTCGGTAATAATAAATCTGATGGCTGCTGCCACTGAGTAAATATAGCCGGGGGATTTGGTCGTGTTAGATGTTGCATTTCATCAGCGCTCGTCGCATCAAATGTCTGCGGCTGAGTTCCTGAACAATGAGGGAGGGTGACGGATGAGATTGGGTGCGTGTGAGGGTTTTTTTGTGGGTTTTCGTGACATACCTGACCACACCCGGGACACTCGTCTCCGTTCTCACAGATCCTGCGACGTGATTGGATGCCTCCGCCGCAGGGCTGGGTGCAGCGGTCCCACGCAGACCAGGCCGACCAGTAGACATGGGTGGGGCAGGGCAGGTGTTCGTTACAGTACCTGAAGGAGGGGGAGGAGGAGAAACTATCATTATGGAACTTTGTTTAAAAAAAGCCCCTTCTCCCGCTGGAAAAAACCCACTAACATGTGACTTATGTCTTCAAATTCTAAAGCTTTATTGCCATATACAATAGCTACAACTTAGCTGTTTACAATTAAATGATTAAGTCCCAGGCTCTTCCAAAAGTACAACATACAATATACTGAAGGTCAAAAAAAGGAGGGGAAATAGTGCAAGGGACAAAATGGTGCAAGAAAAATGCATGAATAAGTAAGTGGGAAAGGTTATAATTGGCGACACGTTGAATTTAACATATCATCAACATCTACAGGGATTTATACAATTATATTAATATATTAATGTACGAAACATACAATCAATATCATCTCCCCAAAGCCACCAGCCTCCATTAATAGAAACAGCAAGTGTACCTCACTGATAATCACAAAACACACTCCATTCAAACTCTGATTCAAATCTGTGTTTTTTTTTAGACTTGTTTCAACAATCACCAATTCTTGTTTGGAGTTTCAAAAAGAAAGACTGAATAATAAACAGATATAAAAAAATAACTAACCAACAAAACCAATCCACTGATTACAAACACTGCCTTAATGAAAACGTCAACTTCAGAAACAAAAACAGAAAGGCATACTGATCATTTGGCAATGGGAACATAATATATCAGCTATTTTTGACGGGTTTTCCTTGGTTAAAAACCTGGATATACGTGCTAAATATGGTGGTTAAGTGTATAAGATAAACTGGTATCTGTTTTCATCCATTGTTATTATAAAAAAAATGGAAAAAAGTGAATCTTTAAGTTATTATTTGTGTATTTTAGTTACAAAACAGCTGAGATGAGTTGCCATAACATACGTTTCAGTGCCATATTTGACTTCATGTTTGTATAACTGGATCTCAGTGCTCTCTGGGAAACAGCTACTTTATCCTACAGAGAACTCAAATGAAATGTGAAGGGCACTGCAGACGTCACCACACGTTTGAAAGCCTGCCTCGGACTGCAAATAGCTACAAAGAGTTCATACCACGAGACAAGGATGTCTGCAAAGGCATGTAAACTTTACTCCTAAAAAAAACCTCAACATATCTGTTTGATGTGGCCTCGCTGAACATCTGACTGAGTCCTGCACATGAACCAGCCTGTGGTGTTTTCTGTGCCCAGCATAATGACCACTGTGGCATAAAAAGTACATCTAAGAAAACCCCATTCCAAATGTTAATGAATGTGCATATGCATATTGCATAATTCATCGATGCAGCCTATTAAAAAAGCCACGCAGATGCATGCATCATCTCTAATTACATAGTTTTACAAGACAGGGTTACTGCGAAATCTAAAATACTTAATTACTCAGTCCTCCTTAGACAATAACGACAGAGGATTGCCAGCCTTATTAGAGCCATATCATTTATTTTACAACTTCTACGCATACTATAAAATTGCTTTTATTGCTGTTTTGTTGTGTTTTGGCACATGAGAGTCTTTGGAGTCTTCTCGTGCTCAAGTAGCTTAAACTTTACACCCTTCCTCCAGAGGCTCAGGCGGGGTATTTCCATTGTTCTGCTCCCAAATACTCTGCTATTGTTCATGACAAAAATGAAAAAGCTACATGCTGTTTACCCTGGGTGTAAAAACCCTCAGAGCCGCGTGTTCTTTTCCCACTTTCACTAAGCTGCAAGCTAGTAGTGGGATAATACAGCGGGGAAAGAGGAGTGTGGAGAAGTAAGAGTGTGTGGATTACAATCTTGCATAAGCCTGAGCAAAACAAACACACACACACACACACACACACGCACCAAATACCCTAGTTGCACCACAACACAGCACAATGAAAACTGCTGCGATCAATGTGAAGCGGATTTCCAAATCATCATCACACACATTTTAATCACACATTTTCTCCTCCTTATCCGTTTTAAGTTGACACTAAAGACACACGGAGCTGATGAGACTAAAACGCTCCTAATTACTCGCTTCAGGCTGAGTCAGCAGAGTGGACGATGCTGAGGGAAAAGCCAACAGAAGGTTCACAAATGAAGGCATTAAGCTGCCAGATTTAAGCCCACAGCGCTGTCGTGCACGGCCGCTTTCAAAACATTTGCTTTATCTTAAAATAATAATAATAGGGCGCTTACGGAAGCTGTTGAAGTGTTAGGAACTGAGTAAAATTGTGTTCGAGTCGGCGCCTTTGAATGAACTCCAATTCCTTATTTCTTTATACATTTAAGAGAATGATCCTAATGTGGCTGTTAAATACAATTCAGACACGTTTTAACTTACTTTGGTAAAAGCATTAAGAACAAATCATGGTCTGACTTTTAGAGTTTAGCAAATTATTTATGAACCATAGCATTGAATAGAACAACAGTAACATCTATTCACACCTTACACCAGTGGCGAACCGTCAGGGCCTTCAAGGTATTCAGAGAATACCCTGGAACACTCAGATAAAACAAACCAAAAATCGATTTAATTATATAAATAAAATGTATATAAAATGAATAAATGAGAATGGTATCAGTGTTATTGATCTGTAATATTACAGTGTGTTACATTGATTTGTTTGTCCTTCTCGGTCCATGCACTAAGCATTTCAGTGGTTTTGTGTTAGAAAAGAAAAGCAACCAATCAGATGTTGTTCTGGGTAGAATATCCTTCAACAAGGTATTCTACATCCTTGATAGAATGCCCTGGCCGTTGCACTGAATGAGAGCGTACGTTTGGATTGACAGTTTGATCAACCAATCATATATTGATTTGTAGCCAATGGGCGTATTCTTTCAGAGTTTCCCTCGGTTCCAGGGTACTCTAGAAGGCCCGCTAGTTCACTGGCTCGAGACAGAGGATCTAGATGAATGCGACGAAGCAATTCATGCCGTTTTATTGTTTTTAACGTTGAAATGGCAAGTGCAACAGGTAAAGATGAAGTTGTTGCGGAATTGTTGTGAGTATCTTTTTCAAGACGACAATTCAGTGAAAAGACGGACATTATAACGCCGGCGGGGGGGGGGAGGGAGGGTGTGTGTGTCTACAGAAGGTCCAGTTGTGATAGACACGGTTCGCCACTGCCTTACACTGCAATGTTACTTATATTCTTACATTTCTGTTATGTTTTAGCATTTATAATTTGTATTCTTATGGCCCTTTTGACAGTTTTAAATTGTATTAAAATGTTATCTTTGTGCTTTTGTAACGCTCCTGGAACTGCTGCGCTGATGAAATGTGCTGAACTTAAAGGGGACCTATCATGCAAAATGCACTTTTGTACGTCTTTTATACATGAATATGTGTCCCCGGTGTTCCAGGGAACTCACCAAGTGTCAGAAAACACAACCCTCTCTATTTTCCTCCATACCCAAATCTCTAAAAAAGGGGCTGCAACTGATCTGATAAAAACTGATCCAGATTTGAACACTGTCCTGACGTCAGGACGGTGACGCTACGGCTATTGGGCCAACTCCACCAATCAGGAGGAGACAGCCACGGCCATTGCCGTTCGAAAGCGCTGGAGACGCTGTAGTACATATGCCAGGCCTGTAGGTGGTGCTGTTCTCACTGAATCAGCCCTTGCAGAGCAGAGCAAAAAAAAGTGCAAATTGAGCGAAATGAGGCATGGCTAAAATGCATGATCTGTTTGGTATTTTGAAAACAGAAAAGTATAAATATACCTTATATAGGTATGGCCCTACAATATATCATTTAAATATAGCATGATAGGTCCACTTTAAACAAACTTGCCTTGCCTAGTGTTATTCTTGTTATACGCCCGGGTTATTCCATGTAAATGCATGTTTGAACATAAGTCCTGTGCATTAATCCGAGCAGGTTCCTCAGGGCTTCATGTGAAGAACAGAGTGAGGCTTGTTGCAGACGCCTCACACCTCTGAGAGGAAACCTGAGCACCGTCACATAAAAGCGTTTCAAGGCATTAAGGATATGTCTGAGAGCTCAGGATCTGATGAAGAGTCGGTCCTTTTCACGCTGTGCGGATTTAAGCTCGTACAGAAGACCTATTTCACACATGGGCAGCTATAAACAACAGATGTGCCGGGAGTTTTTGGACACAGCGTAGAAAATTCAAGAAGAAGTTTTCATCTTTTTTGCAATATTGGTCACAAACATACCTCACACACCTGGATATTGAACACACACACATTTTTTTTAGCATCCCCTATCCATTTCTCCCTCAGGCAGAGTCAAGCTGACACAGCATATTTCATCTGTTAGCACATTTTCTCTTTCTCTCTGCCTTACTGTCCATCTGTCACACACACACACACACACACACACACACACACACACACACACACACACACACACACACACACACACACACACACACACACACACACACACACACACACACACACACACACACACACACACACACACACACACACACACACACACACACACACACACACACACACACACACACACACACACACACACACACACACACACACACACACCATCTTTCCCCTAACTTTCCTAAGTTTTTTCAAATATCTTAACATATCAGTATTGACAGCGTGAAGGCTAGATGAAACAAAAGCGATTAAAGGAGGCGGCAAAACGTGCCCCTGGCCTCCCGCAGTCTTAAGAGCCAACCAGCATATTTTCTTCTTTTTTGAGTATCTGCACTGTGCTGGTTACTCCACATATTTCATCCACAAGGAGCATCAAGAGAGAGGAAAGTGTGTGAGGTTAAAGCAAATGAAAAAGTGCAGAGAAAAGAGCAACAGCATGTAATGTAAGGTTCATCCTCCAAGGCCGTTTCCAATTACTGATCCGTCGCAATACTGTTTCTGTTGCCTTGGCTACAATTTATTTCTCCTCTCTTGCCTCCCTGTGCACTGTGAACTGTATTTATTTGCACTTTTTCTGCCCCCACCTCTGGTTAACAGCAGGAGAGGGATGAAAGCATCAGCAGGATGCCTCACTTGGTTACCCAGATGAGGATGCTTCAGTTCATTCATTAACAGCAGTCTATATTTGGATATAAATTAATTGTATCTTTAAAGGTGGGGTAGGTAAGTTTGAGAAACCGGCTCGAGATACACTTTCTGTTATATTCCATGGAATGCTCTTAACATCCCGATAGCAATGAATATCTGAAGTGCTTTGACAAAAAATCCATAAAAAAATGTCATCTGTGGAAGCCGTAGCGCTGTAAAAAGCACGACCAATCATCTGAGCCGGCCCGGCTAAAATAACTGGATGGCCTACCTGCCTGTCAGCCTTCCATCTGTGCACAAACTTATCTCGTGCCCTCATTGGTCATGTGCGCGTTCGTGTGTGTTGGAGGAGGGGCTCTGTAAGGAAGTGGCAGATTCTTTCCGGCTGTGTATTTTCAAATTCTAGTGCACTCGAGCTGGTTTCTCCAAAATGACCTACCCCACCTTTAATTTCAGACACCACAGATGTCAGCGTTCCTCAGTCTGTTTTTTTAGCAAACACTGAGATGAAGTTTGAGATGAAGAAACTCATCTTCTGACCATCTCTGCCTGAGTTTCTTTGAGTGTCTCTTTGTGTTTCCTCACAGACTTTCTCCTTGTAAAACAGATTTTCTTTCAGGCCTTGAAGGTTGCTAAGAGACTGAACAAACAGCATCTTTAAAAGGCGATTACTGTTCGGCAAAAGCTTCAGAAACGCAGACTTGGGCCTGTGTGTGAAAGCCAGATAATTACCCGAGCGCAGGCTTATCCCACTCTCTCCTTAATTGGCTGTCAAAGTTGTGAAAAAAACTAACAAAATTAAGAAAAAGTCACAGCGAAAGTCATGACTGCAGGTTGCAAAGAAATTACACAAGAAAATTGCTTTCGTCTTTTTATAACATGCACATAAACACAATTGCTTTGGCCAAGTCGTGTGTGTGTGTGTGTGTGAGAGAGAGAGAGAGAGAGAGAGAGAGAGAGAGAGAGAGAGAGAGAGAGAGAGAGAGAGAGAGAGAGAGAGAGAGAGAGAGAGAGAGAGAGAGAGAGAGTGTGTGTGTGTGTGTGTGTGTGTGTGTGTGTGTGTGTGTGTGTGTGTGTGTGTGTGTGTGTGAAATACCTCTCCTCGCGGTTCTGGCCCACACACACTCGTCCTCCGTGGCGGGGGGTGGGGTTGCTGCAGGATCGCTGGCGGACCTGGAAACCGATCCCACAGGTGGTGCTGCACGGAGACCAGGAAGTCCAGGGGGTCCACGCCCCGTTTCTATGGAGACGCAGAGCAATTTATAGATATTAACGAGACATTAGAGGTAAATACAGAGAGATGGCAAAAGTACACACATCCTTTACTCAAGTAGAAGTACAGATACTCGCGTTTAAAAATACTCTGGTGAAAGTAGAAGTACTGACTAAACTTCTTTACTCAAGTAAAAGTAAAGAGACTTTGAAATGTACTTCAGTAAAAAGTACCCATAACTAGCAGCTGTTTTAAAGAGTACCTGACCTCCCTTTATATTAATAGAACAATAATGTCATTGTTAGCTAATGAATGTTTCCATGCTGAACAACGGCAACATGACAACGTTTCCATTGGTCCCTCTTCTTTAGAGAAGACCAGGAAATGATGGATACACGGATCGTGTTCAAATCAATAGGCACGCAATGACTCTAAATAATAATGATCACGCCACCAAACACACATTCAAACTAAAGGAACCAGCCTGTTTGGAAAATGTGAGAAGTAGAAAGTACAGGTATTTGTGTTCAACATGTAAGAAGTAGAAAGTACAGGTATTTGGGTTCAACATGTAAGAAGTAGAAAGTACAGGTATTTGTGTTCAACATGTAAGAAGTAGAAAGTACAGGTATTTGTGTTCAACATGTAAGAAGTAGAAAGTACAGGTATTTGTGTTCAAAATGTGAGAAGTAGAAAGTACAGGTATTTGTGTTCAAAATGTGAGAAGTAGAAAGTACAGGTATTTGTGTTCAACATGTAAGAAGTAGAAAGTACAGGTATTTGTGTTCAAAATGTAAGAAGTAGAAAGTACAGGTATTTGGGTTCAAAATGTAAGAAGTCAAAGTAATAAGTAGTGGAGTAAAGTACTGATACCAGAAAAATGTACTTAAGTACAGTAACGAAGTATTTGTACTGCACTACTTCCCACCTCTGAGTAAATAGGGTACAATATTAAACTAATAGATATCACCGTGAAACCTCCCATGTTCATCACTGAAATTAAACTCAATATTTTTTGCCTTACAAGTGTTCTGCCACTTTACGTTTGAATATGCAAATGAGGCAGTATGTTTGCCAACTTTAGGGATTTTAAGGGATTAATAAACACGTGTTTTGACCTCAAAGAAGGCAATTATTGGTTTAAAAGATGAGTAAAGAAAAGCATTTCTTTGAAACGTTTTCTTGTGACAATTAGCTGCGTTTTCTTTGTTTAACTTTGAGTGAAATCCCTTTTTTCCTGATATTTAAATGAAATAATTGTAAGAGTCTAATTGGAAAAGCCACTGCCACTACTTTCAGACTATATTGATAAAAAAAGACAATTGATAAATCTGATTTGCTTCTCCTCATCCTCCACTCACATGTTGGTTCTGTTGTTTAAGTTCATGGTAAATTCAGAGCAGCTTCTCAGCTAACTGTATCTCTGGTTCAATAACGAAGTGTTAAAACAGCATCCAATCAACACCTCTTACCCCCAAATAACTGACACTGAATATACATCAAACTTCTCCAGAGTACTGTAGGTGTGAGGGAGCAGGAAATTAGTTCAATGATTGATGTGAGGTACATGAGACAGGAGAGAGATGGAACAACACTTTGCAGATTAACATAAATAAAAAAATAAACGTAACAGATATAAACTTTAATTGTTTATCCTATAGTATTAATCATGATGCATGTCTGTCATTGTTTTGTTCATTTGTGGTCATTTTGTGTGTCTTTATTGTCGTTTTTGGTCACTTTATAATGCTTTTTCATCTTTTTGTAGTTATTCTATGTCTATTTTGCCCATTTTTGTAGTTGCATCCTATCTCTGTGTGGACGTTTTGAATATTTCTTTTGTGGTTTTACACTTTTTCACAGTCATTATAATCATTCTATGTCTCTTGATGTCTCATTTTGGTCATTTTAAATCTCTTCCTGGTTGGAACGTGTCTCTTTGTAGACATTTAATGTGTTTTAATATCATTTTCAGTCTCTTTCTGGTCGGTACGAGTCTTTAAGCGTGACATCTTGGCCAGATTGGCCCCTGAAACGTTGAGTCTAGGGCCTGTTCCTTTAAAAACCAGTTCAATAATTCATCCATATCTCAACAAGTCGTACCTGGAGCAGTTGGCGACCTCCACGCTGATGCCATAGCAGTGCTGACCCCCGCACTGAGGGGCCGGGTTATTACAGCCTCTGGTTCGACACAAACAGGACCCTGCGCTTCCTCCATCGTTATGGCTACACATGGACCATCCTGACCAGACGCCAAAGCCTCCATCAACCGTCACATTACGGACCTGTTAGCAACGAGAAGGGCCAGAAATAAAACATTGGAAAGTAATGGGTTTTCTGAGAAACGGCTCATTGCATTAGACTGATGCTCTCAGGAATGCATCGCTCTGGGAGCCCACGGCTACAAACAGAAATACATTTTCCTGATGCAAAAATAACAGCATTACATCTTCTACAGCACATCCTGAATGGTGCAGTTATGCGAAAAGCAAAAAGGTGGAAGCTGGAAGATATATGAAAATTGTGTGAGGACATGATGAGACTCAGAAACAGAGATTCACAAAGGCAAATGAAGGCTGTGAACGGACACATTCAAAATATGAGGAAATAAAAGTGGCGGTGTAAATAGATATCTGAGGGAAAACAGAATGAAACGGGAAGGCTCCGGTATTACAGGATCCATGAATTACAGGAGAGATGTCCTGCGCGAGCGAGCTAAACACAAAAACACGCCGGCGTGAGATTCAGATGATATGAGGCGTGTCGCTGCTGCATTTCAGGGTGATTTAAAACACTTTCACACGCGGAGAAAAGAGAGCATGATCATCAGCTGCTCTGGCAGAAGCAGACAAAGCGTCGGGCCTGTTCGCGCTTTTTGGTAATTGTACTCCGCTGTGTGTCTAAATGGAGGACGCTTGGCGTAGACAGACAGCATTTGCATCAGTGGGCTGCCTAGAAAGCAACTAGGAAGAGAGAAACAACATCGTAGGGCTTTCAACAATCAATTACAGCTCAGACTATAAATAAAATGGACCATAAATATGAGATGCACGCTTTCTGAAGAGCACGTGTCATTTCTTTCATTAAAATCTGGAAACCAAAATGAAAAGGCAACAGAAGCAGAATAATAAAATACTTCTAGAAGACGATAAAAAAAAAAGTTGTCTCTTTTTTTACATTTTTATATACTGTCAAATCATGTTTTTAGAGTGGGGGCTGATTGAAATGACTTTTAAGCAAAGTGCAAACAAATAATTGAGTGGAAATGTCTATTTTATTGAGGAAACAGACAGAAGGGTGACTCACACTTCCCTAAAACAACTCACTTCTGCTTGTTTCCATATAGACGTGTGAGATTGCCAGATGGCGTTGAGAAGCTCATCTCCTACACAACGCTCCTCAGTGTGAAACCTGACTGGCCTCCTGCTCCACTACTTCCACTTTGCAGGAGGAAAGCAGCCAGATGAGCCTTTTTTGAAACTGTTAATGGACTCATAGGGAGTGAGACACTAACTGTGATAAAAGACGACGTGTTGTTTTTCAGTTTTCACATCTTGGCAGCGAGTTGTTGCAAGCAGACACTTTTCTCATTTCGGTCACGAGCCCCATTGTAAAGCCATTTATCTCCGTCAGAATACAAAGTGATTACTGCCAAAGTTAATTCATGCTCGCGCTAAATGGATCTGGGTAGGTTAAGTGAGTAAATACATATTGCATTACTGCTGTGGGCAGTGGTGTGTGACCAATACTTTAAAACTAAGAAATGGGTGGCTACACTGCGGCTGGAAAGTATCTTTAATTAAATCCTGGATTTAAAGGAATCATTTAGAGAAAGTTAGCTTAGCAGAGACGGGCAAACATTGTTCAAGTGCTTTACGTTCAAACATAATGAAATCCACGTACCAGCATCTATATTGCTTATTAATAAAAACATTGATTTCTATAAAAACTCAAAGTTTGCAGTCCGATGTGTGCAAAGAAATAACATTTTAAAGGAAAGTGAATAGTTCCCAAAATGATGGCTATCAAGCATGCTGGAAATATGGATATTATGTTTATTTAAATCATGCATTTAAAGTAGTAGTTTAAGGACAGTTAGCTTAGCTTAAAGATGAAGACATCCGCATCCTATCACCTCTAATGCTCAATAAGTCATATAATGCTCCATATACAATAATAGATAAAATCCATGTCTATATAAACATTTAACGTTTTCAATGTCATGTCTTCGCAAGTAAAATCAAATATATAAGAAGAGACAGAATAAGCATAATTCCAGAATGTATTATGACTGTGTTTTCAATATAAATATTCTCAGAAAGGGGTTTTAGCCACCTGCGCAATTATAATGTCCAATTGCATTCAATAGTAACCTGGCAAAACAATGATGTGTGTGTGTGTGTGTGTGAATGCACAATGCCTGCATGACTGTATGTCTGTTGCAGCCTACAGTATTCCAGGAATCATGTGAGGATGTTAGCCAGGTTTCTGCCACAGTTATGATGACAGATGCCACTGGAGCTCGGTGGCCTGACTGCCAAATATCCCTCTGAACATGAAGCCACATAAAAGGGCATGGAGACCAACAGAACTGAACATTATGTCTGTGAAATGCAGGCTTAAATCACCCCTAACACTGCTCACAAATGTGGTACGTTGAAATAAATGGACGAGCCGTTTTGCTAATGAGGGAGTAGTCAGAGGTGAATGATTGAGTGCTCCCTTTACAAACCAATTATTTAAAGTTAAGTTCAGTATCGAGCTGAACTCCAGGGTGCTTTTTATAAAAGGTTTAAAGTAAAGAAAGTAAAGGCAGTACGAGGTACAGCGAGGTTTGTACAGAGGGATACTCACAGGACATTTTGAGATGCTCTGCTCCCATTGGCTCATCCGGACACTCTCCTCCAGCGTGGTGCACTTCTTCAATAAAAGGTCCCAGCCACAGTACGGGTCCCTGGCCCCGATGCACGCTCTGCAAGGAACAGTAACGTTTAATGGGCTTTTATTAACCGCTCACATGTGAATACAGATAGCTCGCATCGAGACAGGACATTAAATCTAACACCGGGTCGAGACAAAGAAGGGAAAGGCGGGAAGAAATGATAAAAAAACATGAAAAAGGATAGGAGAAAAGAGGAAAAAGGAGAGCCGGTGTTGAACGAGAGGCGAGAGCAAAACAAATTAAAGTCAGGAGCTCCTCAAGTGACAGAGAGCAGCTTATCAGCCCAACAGATATTATCTGAGAAAACTGCAGCAAAGATGGATGTGTCTTTGCCGTATCTGCTTCAGGTGGTTTATTGAGTGCAATAAAAAGCCTCATGTTACTTTTTTCATGCAAATAGGAGTCTGTGGTGACAGCACAATGACATATCTCTGAGCCACGAGCATCAGTAGAGCCTGACGTGCCCCTGGTGAAATGTAACCAAAGTTGTCCGTGGGTTTCATAACAATGAGGCAAGGACAGAAGATCATATGCACCCATGCATGTGAAAATGCAGAAACACTCCGACGCACACACAAGGTGGCTGACGTAGCGTCTGGGCGGCTAACAAAGAGTTTTTGGACTTTATCGAAGGATATTTAGGGTGACGACAGCAGAAGAAAATGAAAAGGGAGAAAGAACAAGATGACACATGTCTTACAGAGGGGCTTCAGGGCCAAGAGGACTGCATACCACCCGTCAGTGAGACACTCTGACAAACAGAGAGGCAGCCTTCTAGTATTTCAAACAGGTAAACATCAATTAAATGAATGTCATGGTGTTATTCCTTTATGTTGAGGGTGTGGTTTACTAAGTAATCTTCCTATGTTGTTGCATTCAAAATGTAAATCCCCCACAACCCCCTGCATCTACTCTCTATCATTATTCCCACTGGACAAAACAAAGAGGGGCAGAGGAAAGAACAAAAGGAAATGAAAATTAAATATGTATATTGATAAAATACTGTTACAAGAAATGCTAGTTCTGCACATTTCCATAATATGAGCTTCATACATAATAACAATACGCATACTAAAGTAATGTGAGTTGAAAGAAGTTAAAGGACCAATTGAAGTTTGCTTCTCAGAAACGATGCCGTGGTAGATACTGTGGATAATTGTGTGTGTTGTGTCTGTAGCTAAAATGCATTATAGCTGTTGTTTTTTGTACTTTATTGATGCAGATTTACAACGGTGATGCATGACTTTCTTGAATACAAAGATTCACAGCATCTGATCACATCTCATCTCATCTCATCACCTTAAACATGGTTGCAAAAGGCACTTCAAAAGGTAGGATTAAGCATGTCATCAAGACCCTAAGTAAGACATAGATTGAGTGTAAACAAGCATCTAAGGGGTTAAAGGTTGGCACGGTACCTGATCCTGCACATAACGCATTGATGCCTTTTTGCTACTTGGAAAACTACAGTAAGTTAAGGACAGTAGGGAATTACTTGTACTACCAAATGTCCAAAATCACGAATCAAATCCTGTGTGTCATGATAATTAGGGGGGTGAACAATTGATACCTTAAGACAGGGGTGTCAAACTCAAGGCCCGGGGGCCAAATCCGGCCCGCGACTTCATTTAATGTGGCCCCGCAAGAGCATGCAAAGAATATAATACGTTTATTATACGGTTACACGCCACTTTACAGGATCACGTTGCCCATAAACTACATGTCCCACAATGCATCTTGTTTGTGACATGCGCACTGAAGAGACTTGCAATTATTTGCCCTAGACTTCTGCTTTCAGACGTAGTTAATTATGAAGTTATTACCCTATCAGATAATAATCCAATGCACAGGAAATAATGTAATATAATGCATTATTTTATATGTATTATATATTTATATATGTATATTTATAAAGTCTTAAAGTTACAACCGGCCCTTTGAGTGCAACCATAATGCTGATGTGGCCCGCGATGAAATTGAGTTTGACACCCCTGCCTTAAGAGATGCAAACAATGCAAGTTGCCAAGTCTGCAGCACAGAATACTAGCATTATGTTACTCTTTGTTGACACTAAAGTCAATGTACTGGAGGCCCAAGCCACCCCTGAGTCCCTTTTCCCAAATTTCACCCATTCTCATCTGGAAATATGTGCGAAAGACATCCAAAAAATAAACAATAAATGTCTGTGCAGCTAGCACCAAACCCTTGCAAGACTGTGGCATGGCATGAAGTCACTAGGACATTAATTATGGTCCTGATATGAGATCATGAAGAATGGAAAACTAGCATCTAAAGGGTTAAAGGATGACCCTTCTAGAAAGTGAAGTCTCTGACCCGGCACGTAACGCATGACTGGTTTTTATTTCTTTTATCTTTTTAGTTCATCTGACTCTCTTGCACTCTCTATAAAAAAAGGGAATATAGTGATGAAGTGCCCATAAATGCTGCAGCATATATCACAGAGCCACAGGTGTAATATGAAGCCTTAACTCTTCCGTGCCAATAACAGCTCATTGTGTGAGAGATGCAGGTGTGAATCCTCTCTGTGTGATGATGGATGTGATCCGTATCTTGTGGTGAGACTTCACACCCGGGCCTCTGTCTCTGGTTTTTTCCTTTGCCAATATTTATGCCTTGACGTAGTGTCTTCAAGACCGACTGAAACACAATATATCTGCCTCACACACACACACACACAGCTGCAGCAGAACTGTGTGTGTGTGTGTGAGGAAGATAATGTACCGACAGACGGACAGAGGGCAGTTGGAGTGGCTCAGACAAAAGCTGATTTAAAGGGGTTTAAAATCTGAGCGACACACAGGCCTGGTTCTCTCAGATAAACAGCATCTTCTGGAGAGTTAGAGCTTTAAAAGTTTTTCTGTGTGCATATTTTTTCACAGTTTCCATTGGGATTAAAGGTCCCCTATTATACTGTTTTTCATCAATATATCACAGGTCTCAGATATATACAGAACCTGTCTCTGATTGGCTGAAACACCAAACAGATCATTGCAGCATCCCATAATCCCCTCTGTTTCAGCCCTGTTTCCAAAGTGCTGATTCTCTGTCTGTTACTTCAGATGAAAATAAGGAGCCACTCCCCACGCCCCTCTGAGAGATATTTGGTTAAAAATAACACATTAGGCGCGTTCACACCGGAGTACTTTTCCCGTTTAGTTCCGATAGTTCCTGGGATTTAAAAAAAAGTTCAAATTTCTGATTGGCTGGGCGAATTGCAAACCACGCTCCGTAAAACTCGGAAAAGTCTTTTGAAGCAGCCATTGTATTTGCTGGCATTAGCATTATTAGCATTAGCATTAGCCCCGCGCACCAACGGAGAGAGACTAACTTATGGCAACACAAAAAAAAACATGGGAGCGGTGGAGATGAGGAGGTGTCGGCGTTCTGGTGATTTACTCGGAAGGCTTCAGTAGAAGCTGCTGGGAGTCCCAGCAGCTTCTACTGAAGCCAGTCCCCAACTCCGGGGACTTCCGGCCGGGGACTTCGGGTGGCAGTATACGCCGTGAAGTTGTGCAGCGGCCTGCCAGTAAACCCAAAGCAGAAGAAGAAGAAGTGACGTCAGCATTTGCCTAATCTTCCCTCAGGGAACTTATTCCGGTGTGAACGCGATCGGCTCTTAGTTCCATGGGGGAACTAAGTGCTGGGAACTAAGTACGGCAAAGTACTTGGTGTGAAAGCGGCTAATGGTGCTCTAGGAGGAGATTCAGGTGATAAGGTGGGGGGGGGTTACCTTGGTTGCTGATTGGCTAATGGTTATACAAGCCAAAACATCGTTATGACATCACAAAGTGGCCAAAATCTGAAAAGCTCATTTTCAGACAGGTTTTAAAGAGAGAGAGAGAATCTTTTTTCCTGAAACTTTCAGAGTGTCTTTACACAGAGGGGACACATGGTGATGTAGAAGAGACATGAAGAAGAGGGGACACATGGTGATGTAGAAGAGACATGAAGAAGAGGGGACACATGTTGATGTAGAAGAGACATGAAGAAGAGGGGACACATGGTGATGTAGAAGAGACATGAAGAAGAGGGGACACATGGTGATGTAGAAGAGACATGAAGAAGAGGGGACACATGTTGATGTAGAAGAGACATGAAGAAGAGGGGACACATGTTGATGAAGAAGAAACATGAAGAAGAGGGGACACATGTTGATGTAGAGGAGACATGAGGAAGAGGGGACACATGTTGATGTAGAAGAGACATGAAGAAGAGGGGACACATGTTGATGTAGAAGAGACATGAAGAAGAGGGGACACATGTTGATGTAGAGGAGACATGAGGAAGAGGGGACACGTGTTGATGTAGAAGAGACATGAAGAAGAGGGGACACGTGTTGATGTAGAAGAGACATGAAGAAGAGGGGACACGTGTTGATGTAGAAGAGACGTGAAGAAGAGGGTACACATGTTGATGTAGAAGAGACATGAAGAAGAGGGGACACATGTTGATGTAGAGGAGACGTGAACAAGTGGATTTTGCACAATAGGCTCATATACTCACTCTCTGCTCTTGTGGTAGCTGCATCTCTTGAGAGGGATCTTGATGACCTGGTCTCTCACTCCCACGTACAGCTCGCTGCGGCTGTGCAGGATCAGCAGGCTGCGGATCGGCTGTCTCTTCCTGGGAGGGAACAGCTCGATCTCCTCCAATAGGCAGCTCCCCGTGGACTGATTGAGAGGAGAGAGCACTTTCCTGATAGTGCCGTAATCTGGAGGAGAAAGGCAAGGCAAGGCACGTTTATTTATATAGCACCTTTCAACACAAGGCAATTCAAAGTGCTTCACAAAAATGCATTAATATATTCAGTTTAATATTTCATCTGTCACATACTTATGTATATATAATACCTTGCTTGATATCTTGTTATTGTTCATTTGTAAATAATTTAGCAGTAATAGTTTTCTTTGACCTCACTTTCTTTCTACTTTCTTTTCTAACTTATCCTTCAGTTATTTCAAGTGTTTCGTGCTAAACGAACCCCCCTTTTGAACACGTTCATCTGCAACACAATATTCAGAAAATTCAACGGATCCTGGCCGTATTTGTGTAGCATATAAAATGAATTAGCTCCCAGAGAAAGAGAGGGAGGGGGAGGGGGGGAAGAGAGGATTCGGTCACAGGGAGAAGCAGGAGTTTGATACCGGGAAAACAACACAAATATACACTTTAATGTGAACTCAAGATGAACCACACAACAATCGCTTCCTAACAAAGAAGCTGTGATATAAGACTGTCAAAAACACTGGAGGTGGCTGATGTGCCAGGCTTGGTTTTTGCCATCAACATGCAGAGCTGCAGACAGGGAACAGGTACAGTATGACAGCTGAATACATGATGTTCTAGCCTACTTATATTTAAGGGGATATTCCAGACTTGCAGGGGTGTCCAAACTTTTTTCACCGAGGGCCACATACAGAAAGATATTCGAAGGGCTGGGCCACTCACTAGAGGTCAGGTTTATTGCCTCATAAGCTAAGTTATAAGTTAGCAAACTCAATCCAATGTAAGTAAATGATGCAGCAGGCTAAATGACAGCTTTCCATAGGGTTTCATTTATTTGTTAGCAGCTCATTCCTTAAAACAGAAGCCTCAGATTGCTTATCATAAGAGGAAATAGGAAGGGTGTATTTCAAGGTTGCTATGTAAATAAGTTATAGGGCTTTTTTTTATCAAGTTAGTTTTGTTAGAACATATTTTCAACTTGAATTGACTGAAAGTGGGCTTATTAACACATGAACACTACTGTGTAATATATGTTTACAGATATATTTAAGAAGTACAATATGAACAAGCTCACGTTTCATTTGTGGGTCATACACTATACTTTTGAAACCCACGTCATCGTGAACACGCCTGACCTTTATTCTTATGTAAGGTGCGATGCAGTTGGGGGGGGCATTTTCTTTTTGGAGGGCGACAACAAACACCATCTATTATACATGCAGTCCCCTGGGTGAAGAAACAGTAATTGGGTGCACAGCGTTGGAAAGGGAAGCAGGGTGAATTACTAATAGGAAGTTTCAAAGTAAGGCATGTAAAAGTTGAGTATCGCCCCGAGCGGTGTTGGGCATTATTAAGTCACTTGTTACAGTAATGAGAATTACCAGATCAGGTGACCTTCAGAACTCTGATAATAAGGTTGTTGTTTCCTTTCTTGTTTCATGGAGAGCTGGTTAATGTTATTGGTCTCTTAAATTGGCTTTATCAATGGTTATTAGCTTCATATTAGCTTCTATGGGTCAGAAAGGACCTTCTAGCACTTTAAAAATGCTGTTATTTTGACCCAAACCACAATATGTTCTCCCTAACTACCTAAACAAATACTCTAGTTGCCTAAAGTGAAATAAGTTGTAATGTTTATCTTCAAAATACTACGTTTAATGTAGTTTTACGAAGTGTATTTTTATAGTTTTCCTTCACTTTTCACTGAAGAGATATAATCACTGATAATGTTTTTGTGGCTTCAGTGAATAGAAAAGTGCTAACATGCAGGAACTAGAGGTGCGGTGAGGCAGCCAGAAATGCTTAAAGATTACAGAATAACGAAAAAAACACTAGCTCAAAATTCATAAAACTTGAAGAAGTGGAATAGCATACGCAAAAGAAGAAGCCATTACATTTTGGAGCGGATCCGAAATCACTCGGGGGGATTTTTGCCTTATTTTCACCGATGTAAAATGCCATGTCTGCACACTGAGAGCTCTAGTTCTGGATCTGACATGTCTTGTTCTTTAATCCCACATGTGTCGAGAAACTCTTGGTGAACAATTACTGAAGCAATGTAATTACTTTTTCAATGAGTCATATGTAATGAGTAAGTAATTCCTTTTTACTCTTGAGGCTCTACTAGCTCTCCGCTGTGGAATTAGCTAGAAAATTGCTCTTTTGTTTGGCCAATAAACATTCAGGAAAGTCTTTTGCATTTAACTGAATGTTGTTAGCTTCAAGAGAACAACGCTGCAGAACTGAAATGACTAGGGTGGGGGAGAATAACATAACTCTACACCTGGACGTTTTCGGACCCCCAGTTGGAGGTTTCACGTTTTCCACAGCGGCCCCAATCAGCAGGGTGCGTTTAAGCGTTAATAATAGCATGTGATTAGATACAGTATGTGCGCTACCCAATAGCTTTGGCAGGACTTCAGATGTTTTCATTAGCGTCTGGTTAGTGTCTGGGGAACTTGCAGTGTGGGCAGCTCTGCTCCGACGCTACATTGATCACAGCGCCGTGCAAACAATGAGAGGGGAGTTTTCCAGGGAGATGCCAAGCATGGAGCCGGTGAACTGGAACAGACTGTGTGTTGTGTGTGTGTGTGAGAGTGTGTGATAGCCTAAAATAACATTGACTAACAATGGGACGATCATGTTGACATTTCCCAGCGGGGCAGCGGTACATTAGCACGGTGAAGCGAGGCACACTACGTTTAAATTCTGTTCAGAACATCCTCTCATAATTCATACTGTCTGCTTTATCATAACACCGGACACACACCATACGCTGGTGTCTGATAGTGTTTCTTTGCCAAGTATAACATCACAATGTGATCAAACAGTGTCCTGATAAGCAGGTGGTGCCATGCAGCTTGGAAAGGGATAACATGGAAGGGTACACTGTGTGTGTGTGTGTGTGTGTGTGTGTGTGTGTGTGTGTGTGTGTGTGTGTGTGTGTGTGTGTGTGTGTGTGTGTTATTAATTACCGGTGTGTTTCCTTTTGACACACGCCTGTTGGCTGTTTCATGGTGTCTAGGATCTCTCGCTGAGTGATTGCATGAGAGTGATGTGTGTTCTGCCGGTGCATGTGGAGGACATATGGAGGGAAGGAGTGATCAAACTGGGGTCAGAAGACAGAGCTTTGATGCCTCCTCAGAAGAACACATCTATTGGTTTCTTTCTGTCTGCTTTTTTATGTGCAAAGGCTGCACTTTCAAGGTTTTAAGGCCCCTTAAAACTCTTTTTAGATAAAACCTATTTATGTAAAACAATCAGTATTCACGACCCAATAAGTAGAAATTAAAGCTTGAATTTAGAAAGCTATGTTGGGTATTATTTATTAAGAGTTAAAATGCTAATCTATGCTAATCTGCTGCTCCAAGACTGTAGGTGTGATTTGAGCAGATTTGGCTGACAGTGCAGGCAACGCTGGCAAACAACCTTCAATATTAAACCTGTGAATGCACAAAAAAACTGATATAGAAATGTGTGAGATAAGCAAAATAGGACATAATGTGGGACCCAAAGGACAACCTACGTCTGCAAAAAGAAGTATGCATAAATCTATAAGAAAATGACCCTATCATTTTCACTTGATTTATTACATTAGCTACCATTTTTGGAATGATTAAATTATCTAATTAGCACTTGTTTCAACAGCATGATGTTCATATAGGAAGTATGTGTACTTTTTGCTAACGGTACCTGGCCAAGCTGGGTCTCAGTCTTCCCAAACTCTATCCACATACTGTATGGTCATTTTTAAGATGACCACAACCAAAATGCTCATGTTTAAGGCTTCAACACGTCTATAGCTATGTACACTTCTTTGGTAGGTAGGAGGCCATTGCTCAAACTTAGAAAGAGTTTTCAGGATCAATAAAAAGTCACAAATTCACAGCTGGCACTTCCATCACACACAAAATATTGCAATTAATACAAAAGAGAGACAGAAATATGTACAGCATGTAGACACAAATACTGTCTCAAAGTCTAAGTCAAACACAATGCATGCACACACACTATAAACCCACCTGTAGCCAGGTATATGATGTGGAGCAGCGTGTCCTTGCCCTGCACCACGTCTACCGCCACATGAGTGAAGCGCACGTTGTCCTCCATGAAGTAGGGCACGGGAACCACGGTTGGACCACCTCGTGCATCAGGAGGAACTTCTGAGCGTCCGGCAGGTTCCTCTCCGTCAGGTTCACGTAGGAGCCGGAGTCGATGGTGCCGCACTGCAGAAAGAGAAGTACATACATCCTTACTCAAGTAGAAGTACAGATACTTGTGTTTAAAAATACTCTGGTGAAAGTAGAAGTACTGACTAAACTTCTTTACTCAAGTCAAAGTAAAGAGGCTTTGAAATGTCCCTTCAGTAAAAAGTACCCATAACTAGCAGCTGTTTTAAAGAGTACCTGACCTCGCTTTATATTAATAGAACAATAATGTCATTGTTAGCTAATGAATGTTTCCATGCTGAACAACGGCACATGACAACGTTTTCATTGGTCCCTCTTCTTTAGAGAAGACCAGGAAATGATGGATACACGGATCGTGTTCAAAATCAATAGGCACGCATGACTCTAAATAATAATGATCACGCCACCAAACACACATTTCAAACTAAAGGAACCAAGCTGTTTGGGAAATGTGAGAAGTAGAAAGTACAGGTATTTGAGTTCAACATGTAAGAAGTAGAAAGTACAGGTATTTGGGTTCAACATGTAAGAAGTAGAAAGTACAGGTATTTGTGTTCAAAGTGTAAGAAGTAGAAAGTACAGGTATTTGGTGTTCAACATGTAAGAAGTAGAAAGTACAGGTGTTTGTGTTCAACATGTAAGAAGTAGAAAGTACAGGTATTTGTGTTCAACATGTAAGAAGTAGAAAGTACAGGTATTTGTGTTCAACATGTAAGAAGTATAAAGTACAGGTATTTTGTGTTCAACATGTAAGAAGTAGAAAGTACAGGTCTTAGGGTTCAAAATGTAAGAAGTAGAAAGTACAGGTATTTGTGTTCAACATGTAAGAAGTAGAAAGTACAGGTATTTGTGTTCAAAATGTAAGAAGTAGAAAGTACAGGTATTTGGGTTCAACATGTAAGAAGTAGAAAGTACAGGTATTTGTGTTCAAAGTGTAAGAAGTAGAAAGTACAGGTATTTGTGTTCAACATGTAAGAAGTAGAAAGTACAGGTCTTAGGGTTCAAAATGTAAGAAGTAGAAAAGTACAGGTATTTGTGTTCAAAATGTAAGAAGTAGAAAGTACAGGTATTTGTGTTCAACATGTAAGAAGTAGAAAGTACAGGTATTTGTGTTCAACATGTAAGAAGTAGAAAGTACAGGTATTGTGTTCAACATGTAAGAAGTAGAAAGTACAGGTATTTGTGTTCAACATGTAAGAAGTATAAAGTACAGGTATTTGTGTTCAACATGTAAGAAGTAGAAAGTACAGGTATTTGTGTTCAACATGTAAGAAGTAGAAAGTACAGGTCTTAGGGTTCAAAATGTAAGAAGTAGAAAGTACAGGTATTTGTGTTCAACATGTAAGAAGTAGAAAGTACAGGTCTTAGGGTTCAAAATGTAAGAAGTAGAAAGTACAGGTCTTAGGGTTCAAAATGTAAGAAGTAGAAAGTACAGGTATTTGTGTTCAAAATGTAAGAAGTAGAAAGTACAGGTATTTGTGTCAACATGTAAGAAGTAGAAAGTACAGGTATTTGTGTTCAACATGTAAGAAGTAGAAAGTACAGGTATTTGTGTTCAACATGTAAGAAGTAGAAAGTACAGGTATTTGTGTTCAAATGTAAGAAGTAGAAAGTACAGGTATTTGTGTTCAAATGTAAGAAGTCAAAGTCAAAAGTCCTGGAGTAAAGTACTGACACCAGAAAAATGTACTTAAGTACAGTAACGAAGGTATTTGTACTCCACTACTTCCCACCTCTGCTCACTGTGAAGGCGAAACAGAGAGGAAGGAAAGCATTAATAAAAGCTCCGAGCACTGTGGGAAGAAAAGCTACGTTAATAAGACTTCTGTCCCACCAGAGATATGAAAAGAGAGGGATGAATGATTAAATGGACGAGGCTATAAAGTCGATTGCAGCATCATTGTAATAGTTTTCTATCCTCACGACTTTAAGACTGTAGTCAAGAAGACTGAATGAGTGTTTAACTGAGCAAGTAGTTATCTCTTTATTAGATTCTTCCTCATATGCATATATATTGCTGGTGAGTTTTGTTGGTACCCTAATAATAAAGCCTCTGATTGCTCATTTTTACAATCTAATTTAAAAATGTTTTCATCTTCAGAGCTTTATTATTGCTATTCATGTTATTACAGAAAATGCTGCCGTATCGCTCGAACAAAGGATTGCTCAAGAAAGAAATGACAACAGGAACATCTCACGTGAATAGGTAGATTTCATCGACACAGATTAATTTGGTTTATCAGGTCGTGTTGACTCTAAGTTCTCGTTCTGAGTCCCAGTAGAGTTTGTTCTACTGAAGCAGCGTCCGTGCTGCAGCACTTTGTTATAATGGGTAATATAATATGTTAGATATTTCCCGGAATTCATTTAATAAGAAGAAGTGCAATAAAAAGAACAGTGTCAACGTGGGAGTTAACGTGAGAAATAAGAGTATTATTGTGATGGTGAACAATAGAAAGTGTTAATTTATTTAGTTGGTATTTCTTTTATATGTGAAACAAATAGGAATTGAGTGTTTGGCAATCTGAATATTGCTTTCCAGCTGAAAGAGCTCCAACCAGCATTATAAAGAATATTAAACAGAGAAAGGCTGCATTATGAAGATGTAGCACTAATTGCGTACTAAAACAGAAAGTGCTGGAAAGGAATATTCCCTTTATGTGTCTGTAGCATGCGGTCCAGGGACAATCTGTTACAATTTGTACTGAAAGGTTTGTGTGTTTTATATATCTCTCACTTCTTCAAACCCTTTAAAAAGCATGGCATTAGCTGAGAAATATGTCAAATCGTGACATTTGTCGTACTTTCTAGGGTGGGAAGCAGAATGTGACTAAGTGCAGCAGACAACTGTTACCATTTGTACTGAAAAATAAGCTTTGTGTGTTTCATATATCCTTCACTTCTTCAAACCCTTTAAAAAGCATTGCATTACCTTAGAAATATGTCAAATTGTGAAATGTTTCATGCCTTTTAGCGTGGGAATGCAGAGCCTATTTTCCACCAAGCAGAATGTGACTAAGTGTACCACAAAGCCAGCCAGCTGAGGCAGAGCTGGATGACTACAGCTAACCATGTGTGTCCTTCTCAGTGAACGAGGCCCCGTCCACAAAGAACAGTCTCCAAGACACGGAGCAGAGAAAACTAAAATAAGCCGTGCACGACAATTACACTAACCCAAACGACTGGCACTGTTTTTGTTTTGAACTGTTTTGCTCCGGGCAAGCGCAGACTCGTCGCACTAAGCTGAGACTGGACCTTGGTTGCAGATTAGTTCCTGCTGACTAGCTGCAGAAGAAACGGACACTTTAAACAGATCAATCCCTCGCCTTTCCCTGGGCTGACAGAAGAGAATCATGGTGGACTTCCCTGAGATGGGCAACGGATCAGCGCCCTCGGCCACATCAGGAGATGGGAAATGAAAGCCCTGAAGGACAGGGGAAGGCAACACTCCTTAAATGTGCCTCTTGCTTATGGGATAAATGTAGCGGGTGTGTGTGTGGTGAGGGTTTTATAATAACATATGTCTAAGGTTTCCTTTCGTGGTTTGGCCTTGGATTGCGTGCATGTGTGTGTCCAAGTGTGAGCCTGATTGTATTTCTGTCACACGGAGACCAAAGCTATGCTCTGATCAGCGAGGGTTTATGAAATGTGTGAATGGACAGAGAGACGGATGTGGTGATTTCCTCAGAACAGTCAAGGTGAGGGACAGAACCTCCATTTGAGTTGAGGGCCTATCTAACCTCCCGCTCATCATCAGCACCGTGCGCCAGGATGATAAGTGCCCTCAGAGAAATATGTATTACACATGTTTTTTGCCAAATGGGCTTTTGTTTAAAATGCTTTCAGGTGACTTCAAATGTCAGCATCAGGTAACATTTTATCAGTGTTGGCACCAAATTATCATACATAACATTGAAAGGAAAGCACAAAGTACTCTTGATTGTTGTATCTGAAATATATCAACTTTCCAGCAGCATTTGGCTTGGACTCTAACTAAAACGTACTATATGCAACAATGTGCAAGTATTAATGGCTCTGCATTGGCAATATTTCAATAGACTGTAACTATTAAAACATTGCAAATATTTGATGGATTGTAAAATAACATGATTTAGGGTTGGCGAGCTGGCATTCACTTTTAAGCTTTGGCTTGGCGTTAGTTGTACCGTAACGTAAGCTGATAAACTAATTTGCAAAGGCATGTTCATTAGTATAATGCAACCCATCATTTCAGGTACTATACATTTGCATTTATAGCTTTGTCTTGTCAATATTCAATGGATTATAATGTACACAATTGCCAGCTATAGCTATGCTGATCAATGTCACTTAAAGGCCATTAGTGTCATTAATAACAAGGCTTTTCTAAAAAGTTCATGACATATTGTTTCTGTATGGACATCTACAATGAATGCATTTGTAAACTAGCAATTACAGTGTGACAGCAATCCCGTACAACACAGAGACGGTATCAGCTCCTTAAACTCAACGCACACGACTCACAGCCAGTATCAATCCCCGAGGTTCAAATACAGGGGCGTTTTTTCTCTGCAGACAGAATGGGAATGAAGTGCTCAATCAATGAGCAGTGTGTGCGTTGAGCGATGACTTCACGGTGATAATTATCCCTATTTGACAGCAATCAACAACCCTATTTTTGAGGGCGTATTTGTGTACAGGGGATATGTATGTGGCTTTTATAGGTGTGATAGTCTCCCTCAGTTGTGTGTGTGTGAACAAAGGGGCGGTAAAAAAAAGAACGAGGCAGGCCATAAATCCTGTGCTCGTAAATCTAATCCTCCAACATTGACAAATGCTTGATGAAGATGTCACTGAAACCTAGATAAAGTGTGTATCGGTCCACTGGTGAGGGGCAGGTAGTGTGCCGGAGCGTAAGAGAGAGATGAGGATGGAGGGGAGAACTGATCCTGGTTTATCCTTGAGGAACACAGCCTCATAAAAGCTTATGGTATATAGAAACTGCTCTTTGATGCACCTACAGTATGCTAAGCAGAATAAATATGTGGTCAGATAGAAGGAATGGGTTTTCTTGAAGGTAGGGGGATTTCAGACACGTAGATATGAGCGCCTTAAGTCATAGATCCATGCTTTTTCTTGTCACAGCTAGCACTTTTTCAGCATCCCCTTTCTTCTGCATGTCGTTACAGATAATGTGTGTGTGACTTCTCGATAGCATTTTCCGCGGGCTGCTGGGTTGACAGAAACATGATAGAGGGCCCGTGATGGGACAACATGTGTGGAAGTGAGGAGTGTGTCACAGATTGGCAGCGAGACCTCAGAGGGAATTCAATCCCTCACGGAGAGCGCGTGGATTAGCTCCCTCGCATCTGCTAAGCGCGCTAGACACCCGGAGAGCCTCTCGGGCTAATAAAACATTCCTCTGTGTCTCAGTGCAGAGCAGTGACTAAAATCTGAATGAAGTGACCTGGCACTTGCTCTCGGTTTTAAGACTGAGGGCATAAACATAATCATAAAGTGGCCACTTGTGCGAAACATGGACAGTTTATTAGAAAGGGGACCCGAGTTCAGATAACGAGGCTATGAAACACCTTAAAGGAACGATTGTGCCACGGTAAAAAAGAAACGGGATTTGATAACGAGCGGTGGTAAATGTGTTCAGAGAGAGCGGTGATTGAAGGAGAGGAAATGATGGGATACACATACACCACATGCATTCTTGTCTTAAGGCGTGCATCCAGCTGGAGATGGTGGAGACATTTCCCGATCACTTTTTCAAATGTCCCAATTTTGTCTCCATTATTGGTTCAAAGCAGACTTTGTTAACAGTTTAAAAGATAGCTGGCACTAAGAACTGCTAATTAACACATTAAAAGAAAGGTTTTTTTGCATGATAAGGAAACATAACATTGAATGTAACATATATAGGATAAATGAATGTGCATTTCCATAAGCTAAAAGGAAAATCCACCCATGCTTTTTAATTATAAAATGCCCATAAATCATGGCATGCACCGATCAATAACTTGAAAACATTTCTTGGCATAGTTTCTTTTGTTCTTATCTTGTAATGATCTGCTCTGACCTCAAACTCATCCGCCCATTACATTGCCTAAAAGAGTATATGTGGAAGAACATTTAAAGATCTTCTCTCCTCTTATGTCCGCACAACTTCTCAAAACCACACCATTTGTTTTTTGTCTTATCTTTAGGAGCTGCAAACGCTGCGCCATCCAAAAAAGCATGCATAAAAAAAGTATTAAAAATACAACAAATAGTTATATATATATAGCTTAGTGTGGTGGGTTTAGATCCCCTCAAGCATGAACAAAAGATCATTAAGAATCTGAACTTCATAAACGTATTTTTGTGCAGGTTTAGCCGGTTGCAAACGCGTGCAATCCTTTTGTAAAATGGACCCTCTTCATACGATACGATACGATAATCGATACGATCAAGTGTGAAATGTGACTTGCATCACAGCAGCTCCATGTGTACATCAACATAGACAAATACACAATACATGAAAAACAAACAACACCATTTAACTAACAGCAGGATCACTGAGAGACAGCCTGCTCAAAGAGCCTTCAGCGTGCATTTGATCTGGGATTCAGCTCGTTTCAGTGTTTCTGGTGTGATTTTGGTTACCTGAAAGTTCGGGGTTGGGGTTTGGGGTAACGGCAGCCACGCTGAGCGGGAGTTCTCCTGGTACTTGAAGGGCCCGTTGAAAACCTGCGATATGGCGCTGAGATTGAAGGCACACACCGCAGACGCAGCAATGCTGTTTCTGAATACAGGGGAACAAAAAAGGGAGGATGATGGATGAAGGAGGGAAGTATTGGATGAAAATAATTTCGGAAATGACACCGAAGCAGTAGTAAATAACTCTCAGATTGTGTTGGTATTTGTAAATCTGACCTCTGTGTGTTTGTTTTATTCCCACCCAACAATACAAATCAAACGGCGGACCGACAGACGTAAGTGATCGTTATTATTGGATGATAAATCTAGCCACAGGACACAATTAAGCTGCCCGGGCCCGTCTGATTAACTGGTAGATCTCAGGCCTGAAATACAAGCTTTGACTTTTTAAGATGTCAGTTTCAACAAGTCCTCCGTCCGAAGAGAAAGTAAAAAATGAGAGTATTAACTCTCAACTTAAACTGGGTGCGCTGAATTATAATCCACTGCGGGCTGTTCATTAAACTCTGTGGCCTGCAGGGGAATGTTTCCAATACCCTTCAAAGGACTTTTTGGGAAGGCAATGACCATAAAGAAATAGATTACTCAGCTTTTAATAATAGTGTAGGAATGAGAAAGTAAAAAAAAAAGGGTGTTTGTGACAATAGAAATATTGCTTTTCATTCCATGGATGCATCCCATCTCTTTCCCCCTATGTGTCAACATCAATAAGTGATGATATGTTTCTTTCATGGATTCAAATGTCACGTTTGAATGTTTATTTTCTACTGGAAATTCAAATGTAGATGCACTTTATCATGTAACAATCGCTGTCATATATCACTCAACTTCATATGCTCAGCGTGGAGCGAGCTACAAAGGTCACATGTCTAGTTAATGCAGTCCCAAGTGCGTTTTGTTTACTCAGCTGACAACGTGTGCCAACAACACGGTGAATTATACATGAAGCTATTCTGCGGGTGCAATTAAAATCAACAAAGAAGTTTTCATCTGATTCCTCTCTGATGCTTCATTCAGACAAAGAGAGACACTGACTGGGGTGTTATTTGGAAAATAACTTTTGAAAACTTGAATCTGAAGACTCGATAATTGACTTCATTCTAATTCTTTACAAAGGCAGCATTCATTTCAAAGAGGTGTGTGTGCAAATAACAGAACAGAACAGAATAAGGACTTTGTAGATGGAGATGTTAGAGGATTGAACAAAATGAGTTTTATTGCTTCAAACGACTATATTTACCATCAACGCTGATTAGACAACACAAATGTGGTGACTTATCACACATTTTGTTCAGTGGACTCCAACAGTGAATTGTGTTGGTCATTGTTTTTCTTTGCTTTGCATTTGTTGGGTAAATATGTCAAATCTTCAATACGCTAAAATGTCCCTAAAGCGCCCGTCACACTGTCCCGAAATTGTCAACCAGATGGACACACGATAAATGTTCAAATTCGGCTCTGATCGTAACAACATCGGGCCCATTCGTGAGGGCATCTCAAGCCAATCGTATGACCGCCGGTGGAGTTTTCTCAGGCTCCGGCAGCAACTTCGCGAGCGGTGGCAAAATCTTTGGCATGCCAAAAAATTGCCGAAGGACCTTGCGAAGGTTCATTTCCGTGTTGAAATTCGTGTGTCCCATTTTGCCCTTCGTAAGGCACCCGTGAGGGCATCTCGTCAAATCGTGTCATCTTCGTCTGATCATCGGTTCCATCGGGGCGGAAAATGCCCGAATTTGAACATTTCCTTTATCGTGTGGTCCATCTGGTTGTTTTATAGTGCACAACAAAATCATGTAAACATATTATGTAAACAACCCAATTTGTGTTCTGTGAAACTGAAAACATTGTTTTTGTTACTTTCGTTGCAGTTGTAGGTCTTAAGTGTAATTTAGGTTAACTTCCTGGTTTATTTAGATGCTTTATTTTGAAGGCGAGTTGACAGGAAGTTGTTGTTGCTATGGAAACAACATGACGGAGAAAACTTAATATCTTCTACATATAAGACGGAGAAAGTAAAGAAGAAGTCTGAAAAATATCAGTACAGTATCATAGTACTTTAACATAATTGTTTTTGTTGCAGTCTTAAATGTAATGTAAAAGTTGCCTTCGTGTGCAAATTCACAATTCCATATTCGTGTGTCCATGTGGTGTCAATTTCGGGACAGTGTGACAGGGCTTTCGCAAGTTTAATTTACTCTGAAATGCATTTTATTTATTCCATCCCTTTCCTCTTTGCATATATCTATGTTTATAATATCATTACTATTTGAAAAAAATAGTTTAGAGTGATATAATTAATGTTTGGGATCATTAAGCAGATTAGTTTCAGGGTATGTAGTTAGTGTTAGGTGTTTCTCTGCTTGTAAATGTTTCTGTTTAATACACAAACTCTCCAATTCTGTAAGTAAAAGAAGTTATGAATGCTACCTGTTTATTGTCTAGCCCCTATTTCCAGAAAGCTTTTCAGTGTGTCACAATGCACTTATCCTCATCCTGTCTAATGATTGCACTTTAAATGGAAGTGATTGAGCGTTTGTAACTCACACGTTGGTGGTGAAGATGCCGTACAGCAGCTCGAGCTCCGGCAGGTAAAAGGTTCCCTGCAGCTCGTTGTAGTTGAAGGGGATTTCTCCGGGTCGAGAGCAGTTCAGTCGAGCCTTCATGAAGGTCGTCCACGTGTCCTCCAGCAGGAAGCGTCCGCCAATATCGTTCTTACAAACTCTTCCAGCGCGGGAAAACACCGTCCGGCCGCAGTCGTGCTCCACCGCGTTCTCACGGAAGAAGAAGTATGTGAAGTTGCCGATATCGTAGGAGGACACGAAGTTGGGTTCTGCGGCGGGAGAAAACATCAAATCAAAGTTTAAATGTAAGATTATAATTGTTTTTTAACAAAATCACACACATATTACAATATAACTAAATATATTGTATTAGTTAACATGGTTCCTTCTTGAATTCGGCATACATGTGAGCCTCTAAATAATCATTAAAATGCCTTTTTTTGTTTCACTTAGGGGCCGTCAATATATTATAGCTTTGATTACACAGATCCAATGTTATTTTTAAAGCTTCCTTGCTTCTAATTATGCTTAAAAAATAAAATCAATATATCTTATGTGGCATTATTACTGTTTAAAAAGATAAATACAATTACAGGAACATTATGAAAAGAAACGACAGAGTGTAATATACAAACAAATACATTAAAAATACAATACAACAATAACATAAAACACCATACGATGTAGGTCTCATGAGGACAAACATAGGACATAATAAAACGAGATATAAAAACTGAGGAGAGGTCACGAAAAATGAAGAGTAGAGACAGGAAGAAGAAACATTATTTAATGCTCAGAGGGAGTGCAATGACTGATTGACTCGCAGTTGTGTGTGTGTGTGTGTGTGTGGTGTGTGTGTGTGTGTGTGTGTGTGTGTGTGTGTGTGAGAGGGCCCCACACCCACAGCAGGTGATCAGGATTAATAACCACAGGGCCATGTTATTAATGACATTGTGCCGTAATAAGAAAACTCATTGCTCACTCCCCAATCCTAAAGGTTAGGAGGAGAAATGACCCAAACAGCTGTAGCATAATAGCTCTGAAACACGCCAGCTCCACCACATCGTCTCCATCTTTATGGATGACATTATTGGATGTAAACCGCACACTTTATTCTCTCTGACAGTGATTTAATTCTCCTTTAAATTAAAGTGTCCCCCCCCCCCGCCCTCCCCTCCTCATTTCTGCCTCTGCAACCTTCGGAGGGCAGTGCATGGGGGAGACAGAAGGGAGAAAATCAATTCGCCATACACAATTAGTTATTAAAACCTTTTCCAGAAGGTTGCTGAGATGCGATGCATGTGTGGCTTTTAATTTAGTTTTTCAATTAGTTTAAATGTGAATCAGATAAAAAAGTCACTTGCTGACAACACACTGATTGAACCGCTGGACAGCCTGAAGTTCTCCATTCTGAGCTTTTCAGCGAGAGGAGACAATTGATTCTGACGATTTCTACAATTCACGCTCCTCAAAGAAAAGGCTGGGTTAAATATAAAGATTTGCTAGTTGCTTAGAAACGTCAGAAATAGTTGTACTGATAAGACGCTACAGAAGAAAAGTGTAGAGAAAGGGTCTTCTCTTTCTCTCTGGAGAAATACTCCCGGGGTAGACAAACATCTGCCATGATTAAATATTGAGCAAAACTATGAATCACCAGAAGCTGCAAGTTCAAGAGCTGTGAAGGGTGAAATATAAATCTACTTTATTCTATTATTATGTACATTTTCATTAATCATATATATTTCTAGCCTGTGTTATCTTATGAACATATCTACTCTGTTGTAGGACATTATCATTAATACACCGTAATGTAAATGCATTATTGTATACTCAGCGGTGCAGGAGAACGACTATAAGTACACACATTGATGCCAACACTTTCACTTAGTAACATTTTGAATGACAGACTAGAGTTTTTCTGGGTTTGAGTTCTTCTTCCACTGCTGTTTGTAATGTAAGGTGTGTATCTAGATGCTACTGTGTGTTCATTGTGACACAAAGCACAAAGCAAATCTGATGAAGCAACATGCAAATCACAAAGTTTGCTCGATTGTTGTTTTTAAATGTAACTTGTTAATACAAAATACGTTTTTTTTAACGTGTGCTGGTATCAATGTATTCTTCAAAACACATAGTTTACTCTTTCTAGTTTTTGTAGTTATGTAGTGTCCTAGTAGTGTTTGCGCTGCTATTTTGATGTATTTTGGTTTACTGTGGGTTACCCTCATGGATGTATAATAAGAACTGATACAGCGTGGGAGGCGGGGTCTCGTTCTTTCCTATGAGAGCTGCTCATTGGCGCACGAGGACAAAATGGCCCAACTTTTGAGAGAGCGAAACGTCACAGATTACCCATCATGCCTAGCTGTCAGAGCAGAAGAACCCGTATGTGCGCTCATAGAGCATGCAACAGTTGAGTTGCCCCTTAAGCCCCGCCCCCGAGCTCCCACTCTCAGATGCGCGTTCATAATGCCGATGAAAATATCTCTCAGAATAACGTTATTAGCACATTTTACAACTTAAGGACCGAATGTTTTTAATAAGGGCTATACAAATGTTCATACTGGGTAGTTTATTTAGTTTAAACACAATTATCCAACGATTTACAGACCACTCTTTCCCAATGTAAGTCAATGGGAAAAAGTGTTTCCGGGCCCAGCGACCCATACGGAAGTGTAGTACCGCCGTTTGGCCACAACGAATATTTTCCTCAGAGTCCGGCGCACTTCCTGGGGGCTTGGTTACCCCGCACCCAGGAGAGAAGCACATATTCAGTTTTTTTAAATAACATGTCTATTTATATATCTGGCCTACTTGTGAGATGTCAGTTTTTCTGTACGTTTTTTACACACATTTACATAAAAAGACATCTCTTTTGTGTATCAGAATACCAGCGAACTCTATGATATTGATGAGAAATGCTCAGTGTACCCCGACTTCTTTTTAAATGTAATTTGGTAATAAAGCAGTTCTATCATGGTGCTGCTACTAGGAGAGAAGCACTGCTGCACCGGGGTATGCATACATGAACAAAGGACAAACCAGTCTGTTAAGTAACATTCATGAAGTAATACATACAATCATTACAATTTGATAGACAGTTACTAATAGATCAGTTCCATTAATAACAAGAGCAGACCAGCTGAAAGTCAGATGCTTAAACATACAAATTGGACAGTCCCTTACCATTGAGCCACTTGGAGTTGTACTGGGCGGTGCGTAGAGGAGGAAGACCCCCCAGGCTGCGGTAGATGGCAGGGTCTCGCCCGGAGAAGTCCATGGCGGTGGCGGCGTAGAGTTCCCCGCTGGAGGTGATGAGCGCGGTGGAGTTGTGCAGCGGGTTGTACGGACACCGAGCCATCCCGCTGATCTGATCGTGGATCTCCGTCAAATTTGTCAGCTGCAACACAGAGAAAAAGAGGGTGAGGAGAGGGGTAGAAAGTGCAATTTAGGGGGGAAATAGTGAATGTCCTCTTCCAATATCAGAGTACACATGATAACAAAGGTATCCCAACTGTAGCTGTGTACATGACAGGATGTATGATTACCTAGAAGAGCATCAGGACTGTTTGAGGCATATGATAGCGATGTGATTAACATGATGATTCAGCCTCTATGGAGATAGACATATGACAAGCATGATCATTTCTGACGTGGAGCTAATCTGAAGTAAACATTGAATACTGCTTTCTATTCCTCCATCTTGTGACTGTGTAACTCCCTCTCTTGGATATCAGCATGTGAAGGACACTGTTCAGGAGCTAGTTGATGCTCTGGATGTGATGACTCCTTCCATTCTGGAGAGGATCAGGAATACATGAATCCTGAGATTGAAGCTCAAGCCGGTGAAGAGGGATATTTTTCTAACAAGGGGAAACTCACACATGCAGGTGATCATTTTGTTTCTTTCCGTTAACTGTCAAGTGGGAACTAACTATTTGTTTGTAAGTTTTTGTGTTTCTCTTATTTTCCTACGGTACTGTTATGATTGGCTGTGAATAAGAACATTTGAAGGACAGACTTTTTGGAGAAAGGGGCAGGTAATATAAGCTTATGTTCTTCTCCCTGCTCCTTTTCGGGTACGGTTTTGTAAATAATTGTTATACATTAAAGGGGACCTATCATGCAAAATGCACTTGTGTACGTCTTTTCTACATGAATATGTGTCCCCGGTGTTCCAGGGAACTCACCAAGTGTCAGAAAACACAACCCTCTCTATTTTCCTCCATACCCAAATCTCTAAAAAAGGGGCTGCAACGGATCTGATAAAAACTGATCCAGATTTGAACACTGTCCTGACGTCAGGACGGTGGCGCTACGGCTATTGGGCCAACTCCACCAATCAGGAGGAGACAGCCACGGCCATTGCCGTTCGAAAGCGCTGGAGACGCTGTAGTACATATGCCAGGCCTGTAGGTGGTGCTGTTCTCACAGAATCAGCCCTTGCAAAAACAGAGCTAACATTTTTCAAATTGAGCGAAATGAGGCATGGCTAAAATGCATGATCTGTTTGGTATTTTGAAAAAAAAAAGTATAAATATGCCTTATATAGGTATGGTCCTACACTATATTATTCAAATATAGCATGATAGGTCCACTTTAAGTTGTGCATACCATGAACGGAACAAATAAAAATGAAATTAGGTGATATTCGCGCTGAATGTTTACCCGAGTTTAACTCCAGGTAATCTAAAGACAGACAGGAAGGAGGAATAACAGAAACTGACAGGTATTGCCAAAACACAACATGGAGAAAATGAGTTTCCCCTTGAGTTAAGAAAGATGCATTTCTCCTCATTGTAAAAACACCTGCATATGAATATAGGACAGCGTTTCAAAGGGCAACATTAAAATGCAAACCGGAGAGGTCTGGTAATGTTTTGTTTGTTTCTGCCAATATGCAAATGACGCAGACAGACAAAAAAAAACACCCAATCTCATTATGTTTTGTTTGGTTTACATCTACTGAGAAACACACACTGCGATATATATACGAGCAAAACCTTCAGGAGCACAGAACATAATCAGAGAACGCATTTTGAATCATTAGCAAGATAAAAACACAAACAGCCTGTCAGCGAAGCAATAACTAAAACTGGATTATTAAATGGAGTTCCTCTTGAAGAGTTTTTAGTGGCTGTTGTCTCTGCAGGACATCCAGCTGTTTGTCTGCTTATAACATTATTCAACCACATCTTTGAGAAGCTGCTCGGGGTCAAAAAAAGACTTGATGTGAGACGCAGTCGTCCCTCGGATTCTGCCTTTGATATTCTGCCAAAGAAACTCCCTGCTTTTAAAAATACTTTACAGCACGACCCCGGCTTACTGCACTTTTTCCTCGATTAAAAAAAAAGGACAGGTCATAGCTCAGTGACTCAGCCTTGAAGACCCAAAAAGGAAGCAATGCTTTTCTTAAATCCAAGATGTAATTATATTTTATGGTGCAAAAGTAAACATAGCATGGAGGATTAGCTCATGGTCTGTGCTTCCCATACGAGCTTCAATTCTGACGGAAAGTAAAAAAAAGATTGCACCAAAAGTCCACAAATGATAATTAAAGTGATGTCATTTGCAATTAGTTTTCTGTCAAATCAATCACAGCTCCACAGAGGACTCCCAGTGACAGCACAGATTCAATCCTTCCTCCACACATTTTGAATAATCTGTAGGCAACTCTTCCTCTCAGGGGGCGAGACTCGTCTTCGGCCAATTTCCTGGAGACGGTCGATTTGGCTCAAAGGTCCTGTTAACTCCCGACCAAAAAGCACAACAGAGCAGCCCTGTGTCTCCACCGGACCGAGATGAAAGCCCTGTATTGACGGGGCTCATTCTGCGGGGCGTTTTTGGGTCAATTGGGAGTATTTAGATAACCAGGAGGAGGAGGAGGAGGGATAGATAAGACGGACTGCAGTGCATCCGTTGCATTTTGAGGAAGAGGAGTGAAAGTCTTCTCTATGGTGCAGCTGTGCGGGTGAAGTGACGTTGAATGCCTCTGATAGAGACTTTTACAAAGAGACAGCGCTCACAGTAGGGTGCTGTGTCTGCTGCTACTGAGACGCTATTAAGGCTGCATTTTAAATTAAAATAATGACAGGAAATCTAGCCATAAGCTTTATTCAAAAGACAGGATTTTCATTGATATTCCCCTGTGGATTCAAACGACACATCCTCGTAGCTTTGTGTCACGTAAACGAAACAGAAGGGGTAACTTTAGTCTTGAACATACTTAGTAATAAGTTTAGGCATAATGTTTACACATCACACGTGTTCTTCAGAATCAGTGCCTCCAGTCGATTAGCTCAGCTTAGCATACAGACTGCAAACAAAGGGGAAATGTCTCAGCAGCAAATGTGAATTACCCAAAACTTTAAACTATGTTGAACAGCTATCGTTATTTATTTTTATTCCAAATGATGGTGCTTATTGTAAAAGCATATCCAGTCAAAGTTGAGTTATACAGAAATCCAAACCAATTCTGATAATCAATGATAATTATGAAATTCTGTTGGCCATTTTCTTAAATACATTTGTTTAAGATGCAACGAAAAAACAAATGTGATTGTATATAAGTCATTACAGGAGTAAGGTTACTTTACAGTTGCTCATTTACAGAAATTATAGAAAAATGTAAAAGATTATTGTATGACATTACTATCAAGCCATGTGTGCATTATTCTACATCATATAACAACAATCAATATATAGAAAGAATACAATAATTACAATGAATGCTACAAAATGGGATCTTATGACTAAGAGTTTAAAATGGAGGAATATTATTGTGATCTTTTATTTAAAGACGTCCTCCCTGCAGTATTCTCATTATCCTCATCGTCACCATCAGTGGCAGCTCGGCTGAAAGTCAGATGAATTAACATGTGTTTAATGTATAACCTCGGAGGACTTATTAAACTTAAATGAGTACTCTGCGGCTCCTCGGTTCATCCATCACCAACCATCGTAAATCTGTCTGAGCGTTAGTCCTGAGCCCCGATCAGTGTTTCATATCAACGGACATTCAGTGGGTAAATATGACAGCGGCTGATGAAATACTGCGATAATAATGTCATGGCATTTCAACTATATGTATTTTCACAGCAGTAAACAGCCATTATGAGCCTGTGACCTTTGGGCGTAGTGCTGTTGGACCAAAACAAATGTCAAGGTAGTAAACTGCGGCTGCCTCCAGATCCCACCGAAGGAGCTGTTTGATAAGGTAAGCAATAATCTGACATTTTAAATGTTGCTCCATACTTACCGTCAGTAGGCACTTGTTATTACCAAGAGAAACATGGGTTTTAGCTCAAAACACTGTTGTTAACCCTTAGATGCCCTTAGAGTGGCTGGACTCTACACTCTTCCATAAGTGGGTCAAAAAGGACCCGTATTACAATAATATGTGTTTTTATGCCATTTTTGTCATTTTGGTTAAGAAAAAATCACTTGTATAATATTTAGTATTATATTTTGGTTTTGGCTATTTATCATTTTAGACATTTTTTTTACATTTTGAAAAAAAACGTTTTGAACAGATTGATGCAAAGATCTCCCCTATTCTGAGACCCTCACAGTATTCCAGTCCCTTTTCAAAACTCATCTCTTCTCCTCTTATCTACTCATAGCCCCCCCCCCCCCATCAATCCATGCCGGTTGATCAAGTTTGATAGTCCTATACCCCCCCACCCTAACCTTCCCTTATATTGTAAAGCGATGTTGAGTCCTTGAAAAGCCCTATACAAATATAATGTATTATTATTATTATACTGACAGGTATCAGATCTTTCTGTGTAAAATAATCTTCCTGAGAGGTGTCACTTGTGATGTCGTCTGTGTGTTCTACAGTGAATGTATTCCTGACAGCAACAGGTGATAAGAATCAAAGGTTCCCATAGGATCCCATAGGAAATGCATGCGGGTCATTTTTGACCCACTTATGGAAGCTTGGGGTAGAAATACAAAAACTACAATTTCTTAAAATGTAAATTTAAAATGTGAATGGCATGATATCCAAAACATGTTTTTTGAGGAATAGCTGGAATATGAAATGATTAAAAAAATGTAATTACAAAGATACTTCAAGAAAACCACCTCACCGGGTCAAAAAAGACCCACTTATGCATCTAAGGGTTAAAAGAAGAGCAGCAGGTTACAAAGTGCATAAAGAAACTTGTGTGGCCTTCACTGACTTACTTATCTTTGCTTTTTAATGACTGTTTTTAAATGCCATTTTCTTAACGTCTTTCATTTTGGTAAAGCACTTTGAATTGCCCTGTGTTGAAAGGTGCTATATAAATAAACCTGCCTTGCCTTACGGGAACATAAACTGCTTTTACTGTTGTTATAAAATAACCATAAGATAAGATATACTTCATTAATCCCAAATTGAGAATTGTTTTTGTTGCAGCAGCATGTAAAACTGAGTATTGCTCATAGTAGAAGTAGAAGATAAAACATATTGATTATCTGAACACTATTGAAAAGCTAAATTACAGCTAACACAATATCAATTGGATATTATTTACATTTAGTGTGCAAGAATGGCAAATTAAATTAGATTTGAGAAGGGTTATTGCACAGTATACACTTTTTTACATTTATTACACCACCTGTATTAACGCTACTTAATATGCATTGTTGTTGTGTTTTTATTGCATAACATGTTTCTTATTGCACTATATATATATATTTTTTTACTAGCTTGCAACTTATGCTCACTCCTTTGTTGTGCACTGGGACCCTGATGCAATGCTTTTTATTGCACTGTATGTACTGTATATGTATGACAATAAAATCTCTCTTATCCTATATCTTAAAACACGGGATTTAGAGGACTTTGTGGACACGTAAAAGAGATTTGAATACAAAAGATGAAAGGCAATGACTTCATATAAAGAAACATGTCTTTTACTGCTGGTTATATCCAGTCTATTATTGCATTATTGTGCTATATGTTTGTACCCTGTCTTGTATCTTGCTGCAGTCTTTGTTAATGATGTTGTTTTGCACCGAGGCCAGGAAAACAGTGTTATGACTCTCTATAGATGTATGGCAAATAAGTCTCTTTTAACTATTAATCCTAGAAAATGTGATTAAGAGGACTGTGTAGAAAGATTAAAGAGAGAAGAGTGAACACATCCCATTAGATGAAAATGTAGAAGAAGAATGATTTGATAAAAAGAATAACTTCAATCTCTCAGGAAGAAGGGCACAGATGGGACAAGGATAATTAGTCGTAGGTCATCGGCATATTATCGGGAGTAATGAGCTTAAGGCAATATTTTGATTAGGTTGTTTAACAAGTTTGAGGAAACACAACTTCTGGATGCTTAATAGGATTCATCTCATAACGAGTCTACATCCCTGAGTGCACAACACAGAAAGCATGGTGTGACACGGCTCCGTCACATCCTGATGAAACGTGTTGATCAACCTTGGCCTTTCCTGCTGACATTGTCACTTTGATCAATAACAATTCAATTCATATTTGTTAACAGGCTTACCCGGCATGAAATATCCCCGAGCTGAAGGATAATGACTTATTAAGGAGCGCTCCTGTGGTAATAGGTGTTACAGTAGTTTAAAGATTTTCAGTAAGCAATTTATAACCTTAATGTATTTACTATTTGACATGTTATTTATACACTTAAGACATAAAGCATCTCTGACTGTGTAAGGTACCGAAAAGTAAAACTATGCAATATATTACAAAACGTTTTTAACACCGTAATGTCTTGTCAACAACAGTGAATAATACCAATATACTAATAGTAATAATCTAATATTGCCACATATATAATAATATATGACATATGGATGACATTATCATGCAGAATAATTCACTTTTTATACTTTAGGTACATTTTCTTGACAATACTTCTTCACTTTTCAGAATGCAGGACTTTTACTTGAAATGAAGTATTTTGACATAAATGTACTTTTACTTAAAGGGGACCTATCATGCAAAATGCACTTTTTGATGTCTTGTATAAATATGTGTCCCCGGTGTGTCAGGGAACTCACGCAGCGTCAGAAAATAAATCCCTCTCTCTTTTCCTCCGTACCCAAATCTCTAAAAACGGGGCTACAACGGAGCTGATCCAGATTTGCGTCCGATATGACGTCATATCTGAAATGTGGACCCACGGCACTATCAGAAACGTTGCTATCAGAAAACAATGCCCGACTGTTTTGGACGTAATATGGTCGGTGTTTACATTAGCATCGCTAACTCTCAGAGCTAACCTGTACTGGAGAGCATGTGTGTGAAGAAGCAGGAAATAAAAAGGAACTCACCTTGTGGTATAACCGGCAAGAGAGAAAGCCTTTGAGCTCCATACTGTTTCAGAGAGAATCCTTGATAATCCATGATATGGCGTTTCATCACGGCAGCATTTAGTTTAGACAGTAGCTGCCGGGTCCCGCATGAGCTCAGCCCCCTCCTTTTTTATTTTTTATCAATTTCTTTTAAAGCTTTATACATAAAATCAGCTCTTTTGAAACAGGAAGTGAAATAGAGGGATATGAGGCATGGCTAGAATGGGTGATCTGTTTGGTATTTTGAGCAAAACACTTCATAGACATGTGTTTTATATATTTGTATATATCTGAGACCTATGCTATTGCCTAAAAATAGCATGATAGGTGACCTTTAAGTTAAGGATCTTAATACTTCTCCTACCACTTATCGTAATCCAGTAATTTAATATATATTATTCTGGAATGGACCGTTAAGCATAGTACTTTCACTTTTGATACTTTAAGTATAAATTGATGCTGGTACGCGTGTACTTCTACATAATTTTGAACGCAGGACTTTTACTTGTAACAGAGTACTTTTACCATTGAATATTGCAACCTTTACTTCTTCAGAAACCACAGTACTTCTTCCAAACCTGCTTATTTGTACCTTTTGTATATGTGAAAATGCATCCATGTGAAGCTGGTTAAATAAAAGTAGCATGGTAGAAAGAAGCAGAAGCAGCAGGTTAAAGATGTGGGTACCGTTCTGTTGGTGCAGATGGGGGTGAAGGCGTTGGTCCCGCAGGTGAACAGCCGGTTCCCGTTCACCAGCAGCACCCTGATGTAGTTCTGGCACTCCTCCTGTGGAAACACATCAGCACACAGTTAGCACACTAAACACTAAATTACACTTCACGAGACAAACACCTGCAGCCTCAGAAGGAAACTCTGAAACGTGGGCGAGCCGGACAGAGTGAAATCAAAGCCAATGTCCTCACAGCTCAGCCACATCACATCCTAATTCAACTGGGAGCAGGTCTGAAGAAGGCCTCAATGAAGGGAGATCAACGAAGCAGGCGTGGCATCGCTTCAGAAAACTGCCTTTGCTTTGTTGATTGGTCGGAAATGAGAGTCTCTCTTCATTAAAGCATGTTTGGTTTAAGCTTCTCTCGACATTAGTCCATTGAAACCACTCTTGTCTAAATGACTTATATCAATATTCCAATTACTTTAGACCAGGGGTCGGCAACCCCTGGCACGCGTGCGGCACCGTAACCAGTGGCACACTAGGAATAAGTGGAATAAGTGTACAAAATATTTATTTTATTTTCGGATCCTGAACGAGACCGCCGCCAGAGCGCGTCTCCCCGTTACCTGCAGAAGGAAGCCATGCACGCAACGCAGCCCCGCTCTCTTTAACTCCAGGCGACTTTCTGCCGCTTTCCTGGTGCAGGGCTGATCGTTTCACCACAGAGGAAAGCACTTCACAAATTGCATTACCCATAAGGAGCTGTAAAAATGCCGCAGTTTTTGCGTGGCGATCGATATCGGCCGATACTCACTCTGCCAATCGATCGGTGCTCTCTAAAAAGGCCGATCGCGAGACGTAACATACATGACACTTTTCTCTGTGTGCGGCAAAACAAGCTCGCCAAAATCGCTTCACCAGTCTGGCAGTATTTTAAGGTGTCCGAAAATGACAGTAAAATAGCGGTATGCAATGTGTGTGTGAAGCAGAAATCCTGCAGCTCCACCCGCTGTGACGGACCGGTGAGCGGAGCAAAACACACAAGAGTTAGACCTAACACACTTAGCTATTTTATCTACCTCTGGAACTAGTTATAAATATATTTATTCTTCACTGTCACTCATTACTGGATCAGTGAGCTGCATGAGATACTGACAGGCTGTCAGGAGAGAGAGAGGGGGAGAGAGGAAAAGAGAGCGCTTCCGCTCATTTCCCCCGTGTTATTATCCAAAGTTAATGTAAACTTGAATAATGTACTTCATTTGAATGTAACAATTATGTTGGTTGTTGTTTGTGGAAGCGCCAGTGAATGAGCCCCATTAACTGAGTTAAACATCACTTTTCACGAGTGTTTTCGTCGAGCTCTTCAACCCCCCCCCCCTTTGATAATTCACGATCGTCGGCACGCTGATAATTTTTTTTTTTAGAATGGCACTTCATATCAAAAAGGTTGCCGACCCCTGCTTTAGACTATTCTGCAATTTATTTTTATTTACTTTGTCATTGTGTTGCACTGTTGGAGGAGCCTGTGACCTAAGATTGTCATTGTCATAACTACACTGTAGCCATACACAAATGACAATAAAAGCCTTGAAACCTTGAGTCCTTGATTGGTCAGAAATGAGAGTCCCTCTTCATTAAAGCATGTTCAGTTATAAGCTTCTCTCCACATTACTACATGGTCTAAATTACGTTGAAGTACACTTTCTTTTGGGCTTGCTCCTCTGAGGTTTTGGCTTGAGCTTCGAGAAAAAACCTCTCAGCACTTAGTTAAAAGCGTGCGAGAATAAAGCGTGACGGATGATGGATTGCTCGAATGATTGACGGCCGCTAAACATTGTGAACTTTTGCCTTTCATGCAAGCTTACCGCTGATATCCATCAACGGAACAACAGCCGTCAGATTTCAAGTCAACTAGCGGTGTTTGTTTTGTGCTGGGATGAAGGTGATAAACTCATAGAGTCCCCCCCTCTGTCTGAAAGGAGCCCCGATTGGGTTGGGATCCCTTGTGGAAATTTAAAAACCTTGTAAATCTCAAAGTGTCCGAGCCACTTGAGGTGCCCGGGGTCACACCTCCTCCCCTTCCTCCCCCACTCCAGGGTCTGATTTAGGGCACTGTAGGAGAGATGGAGAGGAAGGAGGTTTTTATTTCCCCCTATCAAGATGAAGGTGACTCATAAAACAACTCGTTTGTGGTGCTGAGCACAGCCTAAGTGTGTGTGTATGCGTTTGTGTGTGTGTAAAACTCGCCCATATATCTGTGTGATTATACTGTGCAGGACTGAGAGGAGGGGAGGGGGTGCATAATTCAATTCTCCGCTGCAGTTTGTTTCCAAGGTAAATAAGGGAATATTTAATATTTGCACAGCCGAACAGTCTTGACTTGTTTACGAAAACTTCCTGACAAATGTTCCCCGTCTGCACTGTAATACCGAGGCTGCTCGCATTATAAAACAAAACAGAAACAGCAATCAAGTCCTGTCAAGTCAATTTAACTCTGCTTTCTTCTCCCGGTTGGGATAAATCAAATACACAAGAGAAGAGTGGATGCGTGCATTAGGGACGATAAAACAAAGAAAAGACAATCACTTGTAAATGTACTGAAAGCACAGGCACGGTATCTGTGTAATAGCTTAAGCGATGGTATATTGCAGCGCTGAGCGAGGTAATAAAACATCACAAAGCCCTGTCAACTGCACCGAATGAAGTCTTTTAATGCTATTCTGCGTGTGCATCACAGAGCTGATCCTCAGAAGAGAACAGGGAGGGAAACAATCTGCGAGACAGCAGCGACTCTCCAGGACTGACGGAGCTTCGGTCTGTAATTCACTGCATCTTTCTGTGAGGCAGGCCGGCCCCTGCATGGCCTATTATGGTCCCAGACCACCTTTCACAGGAGGATAAATATACAGCGGTGCACACACACACACACACACACACACACACACACACATCATTTCACGTCGTTTGATGAGAAGGATTAAACATAGTGTTGCATGCTTTAACATAAGAAGCCTAACATACTTTGAGAAATAACTTTTCTTACCTCTATTGCCTGGAACACACACACAACACACACACACACACACACACACACACACACACACACACACACACACACACACACACACACACACACACACACACACACACACACACACACACACACACACACACACACACACACACACACACACACACACACAGGCCAGTTCACCTACAAGTCAAGTTCATACTCGAACCCAGCTGTTTTCAGCGTATGCCAGCTAACCACATACAAAAACACACAATCCTGCACAAAAAATAAAAAACAATAGGAACTCCCTTTTTTGCGAGGCCTATAAATAGGAGTCAAGCTTTTCACTTCATAACAAGTGTCCTTGTTTAGGAGGATAATCCCACATATACATAAGGGATTCCCATATGTGAGCTATAGTAAAGAGCTCCATGCTGATTTCAGGCTTCAAAAAGTTTCATCAACACTTGGTTTTTTATTTCTCTGGGCTATTTGATGTGTTCTCTGGAGCTGATTCAACACTGCCTGTAAAATGAAGAGAGTGCTGAGATATCTGTCGTTAAAAATGAATTCTCTCTATAGCCTCTCTATTCACAGATGCTGCTGGGAAAGCCGGACATCTGTAGCCTTCAGTTCTTCTGTTAGACTGCGTTTGTTCATGTTTTATTTGTATAGATAACCAAACCCACAGGAAAACGTTGAACAGTCATTCCCTGTTTTGAAGGCTGCGGCTTTGCAGTTTAGAAAAGTATTCAGCAGTAATCAAGGTTTAATTTCTAGTTACCTTCACCAACTTCTGTTTGTTTGTCAGCCGGATTAAGGAAATAACAGCTGGCTTGATTTCTTTTAAAGGGGACCTATCATGCAAAATGCACTTTTGTACGTCTTTTCTACATGAATATGTGTCCCCGGTGTTCCAGGGAACTCACCAAGTGTCAGAAAACACAACCCTCTCTATTTTCCTCCATACCCAAATCTCTAAAAAAGGGGCTGCAACGGATCTGATAAAAACTGATCCAGATTTGAACACTGTCCTGACGTCAGGACGGTGGCGCTACGGCTATTGGGCCAACTCCACCAATCAGGAGGAGACAGCCACGGCCATTGCCGTTCGAAAGCGCTGGAGACGCTGTAGTACATATGCCAGGCCTGTAGATCTGTTCTCACAGAATCTGCCCTTGCAAATCCAGAGCTAACATTTTTCAAATTGAGCGAAATGAGGCATGGCTAAAATGCATGATCTGTTTGGTATTTTGAAAAAAAAAAAAGTATAAATATGCCTTATATAGGTATGGTCCTACACTATATTATTCAAATATAGCATGATAGGTCCACTTTAAACTAAGTCTTTGGGTGAAGCATGGGCCAAGGAAGAAACCATATCATTTTGAAGAGGATCCAAATTAAGGGGCAGATACAAATAAAATGTTTTCCCATTCAGGTCTGCACTCTCCTAGGGATATACATCTAAAAAAGTATTCATTTATGATCAAATATCTGCAAAACTGACCACAATGTCACCATCAGCCTCCACTGTACGAGGTGAAAATGATATCCAAACAATGTAACGGGATTATTCTGAGCATATTAGCATGTTGAGGTTAGCATTTAGCTCAAAACACCACGGTGCTTTAGTACAGGATGCCATTGAGTTACTTTATGGCAAGTGTAGTTTGTAACATATCAACAAAGTGAATTGAATACTTTATTGCTGGAATATCCATTTCATTTTCTTTATTGAAACCAAGTTAGCTGCAGAGTTGCAACCGTGTTTCATAAGGCAAGGCAAGTTTATTTAAAAAGTATAGTATAAAAGTTATATTGCAACAGTAACACATTATGAAATGACATTTAAATACATCTAAAAAAATATTCAAAGAGGTGTAAGATATGAATAGTTATCTGATTGAATGAAAGAGCGCGTCAAACAGATAAGTCTTGATTTGTGAGAGTGGTAGCAGACCTACAGTATCTCTGTGATGAAGCACACCTTTGACGGAGGACAAGATGTTTTTTGAACACTGAAATGTGTTTTTGGACGTACTGACCATAGACTGTATATATAAATGGACGTAGGGTCCGTGACGTCACCCATAGGATTCTGCAGAGTTGCCGAGAAGCCCTTAGTAGGCGGAGTCGGCCACTAACGGCTCGACAGTGGCGTCAGAGTTCCACTCCCGCCTGCTCCAAATAAGGGCAAAGAGGCGGAGCCGAGGCGGGACCTGCTGCCTCCGAGCTGGAAGTAACAGAGCTAGCTCAAGCTACCAAGCTAAGCTAACATGCTCCCCATCTGCACACTGCCGTCGCATTGTACGTTTCTAAGGTAAGCGGACATGAAACTATTCAGCAAAACTATAAATAATTATCTAAGTTGAGTTTTTAGCATAATACTTCAGAATCTTAAAATCCCTTAACGTTTGTATGCAATGTGCTAAATGCAACACTGGAATCAAGCAAATATTAATATGTTTGCATGACATTAGTTATTTATATTTTGCCATCACTTAATTATACGTTTAATACATTTAAGTTAAGCTAAGGTGCATGTGATGATAGCTAGTTAGTGCTCTTACCTGTGAGGCCTCCTCCAAACAGCATTATAACCAGACTGTATCATTAAAACTATAAGTACCAGTTCTAGATCCTTGACTTTAGACAAACAATTCAAAAGACTACTGACAGGTGTCTGATAAAGCAATATAACAGCGTGACACATTTGAAACATCACTTAAACTCACCTCAGACTTTCCCCGGCTGAAGCAGGCTCCCTTGGTGAACTCATCGCAATGCCACTCAGCCTCCTGCAGACACACAGAGAGGAACAGTGTGACGTTTAAAGAGAAGCACCAAGCATGGACCACTTTAAAATCCTCTCAGGGAACCCAAACAAAATAATGTCTGGCTCTCAACACGGGCGACATTCCCTCCTTTTTAAAGTCAAATAGATTCCAGAGAAAGCAGAAGCAATAAAAATGTCAGAGAAGACAAGAAAACAGTCAAAAAGGACACTGATTTATGGGAGCTGATGATGTATTTATAGATGCATTCATGACTTGAGAGGGAGGAATGCATTAAAACAGAAGCGAACACTAAGTTATTTTGACATTTCCACTGTACTATCAATCCCTCATTTACATACATACGTTTGTAAGCCGTTTTAAATACAGACACAGAATCCAATTAAGGTGAAAAGCAAGCAGAGACCTGAATAACGAGTGACAAGTTTGCACAGTTTGATTTATGCATGAGGGTGAAAGGACGCATCTTGAAATCCCCAGAGGAGGATGTCAACGTGATTTACACGTGAGGGAAAAACAGAGGAACGACTTTTACATTTTACAACAGCATGCGGGAGGAACGAGGAGATAAAACCTTCGACTCGTCTCCGGGGGTGACGACACCATTTCTGCCGTTTAATTTCATCGTGACCTGTGGGGTTTCTTTCTCATTGACAAAAGTTCTCTATTCATGAAATGAGCGTTGGCCTCGGGGTAGCACGGGAACACTAAGACACTCAGGTGTGTGACAGGAGGAATTAGACGTCACCGCCGACAGCTGCACAGAATACTTAACAGAAGAAATTGGCTGGTGCAATAATGTGATTAACGCCAAGTCACGAAAAGTCACGAAAAAGTTAGAAGATATTCGACTTGGACACAGAGTTTCATGCGGTCTTAACCTGGCTAGCTTCCAGGGGGGGGGGGGGGGAACTCACCCTCAGAGGGGCTACAGTAAATATCGCCAACTGTCGGAGAATATTAGATTTCACCTTGGTATCAGGACTGTTTTATGTTTTATGAAACTTCTTTCATTTCATTTCCTCTGTGAGTCTCCTCTCTGTGTTTTATGACAAGACTTTTGCTTTCCAACTCGCTGGCCTTTAGGAGCCGTGGAAACCCCTGTATGTACCCACCCACACACACACACACACACACACACCCACACACACACCCACACCCACACCCACACACACACACACACACACACACACACACACACACACACACACACACACACACACACACAGCTGCACAGATACAGCTTAGCAGAGAGAGAGGTCAGGGTGTGGGCTACCATTCAGGGAGGATAAGATACAGAGTATTAATGTGAGCTGGCTTCTCTCTTGCTCTTCTCCATGTGGGTGTGTGTGTGTGTGTGTGTGTGTGTGTGTGTGTGTGTGTGCGCGTGTGCGTGTGTGTGTGTGTGTGTGTGTCAGTTCACATTCCAGGCCAAAGCGGGCTATTCTCAGCAACCACAGACAAAAAAGCACACACATCAGCACAAGTCGCACAGCAGCAGCCCGGCGAGTCCCTGCTGAATTCAATGTAGGCGCTAAAAAGTGCTTTAGCTAATCGCAGGGGAGGAGGGGGAGAAAAAAACCTGTTAATGGTCCGAAACCCTTCCTCATTCATGCTCAGGGTGAAAATCAATCATAATACCATGCAAAATTACAACTTTGGATCACTTTAATCGGTGCAGAATGGTTGATTTTTTCATTACAAAGCGATTCATCACCATTTGAGATATTTCAAAGCAGATTTTCAGAGTGTTATTTACATTTTTAGGACATCACGGTGATGCCTGTGAGCCTGTTAGTGGGGGATATTGTGGCATCATTGACTACTAAAGCCTTTTTATCTGACGGCCCTGCCTCAAATGGTGCAGAGTAAAGAACAGAAGTGCCGGTGTCATTAGGAAACATTAAAAGCTCATTAACATGCTTTTGTTCAGACACTGTGCTCCTAAGATGGATGTGTCCTGATCCGAAAATATGTCTGGAATGCGCTGCCGTTAAATAATAATTCACGACTTTATCAGAGGAAGCTGCTTTACAAAAGACCGTTTTCTGTACCGAAATAGAGGAAACAAAGAAGATGAGAGGACCAGGATTCAATTTAGTGAGCGGACCATTGTGGGGAATTGTCCCAAAAGAAAAATAAATATCCATCATGGCACTGTAATCATCTGTGGAGAAAAGCAACTATAGTGGAAAAGGAAGCCATATACAGCTGTTAAATGATGATTATGGCTTAGTGCAACTACTTAATCTCCGCATTTACATTGCATATGATAATATTGTACTTACTAATGTATGTAAATGGTAACAATTTGGGAGTAATTGACTGCAAAGTCCCAAAAAATACATTGACGATATGCTTATCAGACAATGATACAACTTTAGGACCTTAAGGGAAGTTGATATGCCTAAAAAGAAAGGTATCCACTCATTTACATCGGTCTCTTTGCCAATCTAAGCTTATGATAATAGTATTTTTGTGACCAATTTCATATTTTGACAGACCGTGCAGGATTACTTGACCCATCCATATACAGCTATTACCGTAAATCATGATTTTTTTAGTTTGAATTACACAGAATTCCCTTAAAGGGGACCTATCATGCAAAATGCACTTGTGTACGTCTTTTATACATGAATATGTGTCCCCGGTGTTCCAGGGAACTCACCAAGTGTCAGAAAACACAACCCTCTCTATTTTCCTCCATACCAAAATCTCTAAAAAAGGGGCTGCAACGGATCTGATAAAAACTGATCCAGATTTGAACACTGTCCTGACGTCAGGACGGTGGCGCTACGGCTATTGGGCCAACTCCACCAATCAGGAGGAGACAGCCACGGCCACTGCCGTTCGAAAGCGCTGGAGACGCTGTAGTACATATGCCAGGCCTGTAGGTGGTGCTGTTCTCACATAATCTGTCCTTGCAAAAACAGAGCTATAAATTGTCAAATTGAGCAAAATGAGGCATGGCTACAATGCATGATCTGTTTGGTATTTTGAAAAGAAAAAAGTATAAATATGCCTTATATAGGTATGGTCCTACACTATATTATTCAAATATAGCATGATAGGTCCACTTTAAATGACTTGGAAAACCTATTATAACCTAATACTAGCATGTGAGTGAACTGTTGTGTGCCAAACAAACTAATGTAGGGTACAGTTTTCATACATGATGGAAGCTTTATAACGGTTTTGATAATCATTCTACCTGCAAGACTGCACCTGTTTCTTGCAATGTTGGACTTACTTTTAGTAATAATGTCCCCCTTTCATATATCAGCAACGACTTGATTCTAATTCTTTCAAAAACCAAAGAAAAAATAAATAATAAAACCAGATTTAGATGCAGGAATCCAGAGCGAGGCAGAGGGAACTTGGCACGGTCGTCAGCAGTCATTTGTTGCTTCAGGAAAGCTGAATAAACAAGATTCCTCTGCTGTTATGTTGTGTGTGTCCGCCTTCTTTACTGTCCCCTGTAATGTGTGCAATCCTCAGAGATGATCCTTTGTGCTCAGGGCCTCCTGTCAGACTCACACTGTGGGGCTTTGTCGCGAAGAGGTGGGTTCAGGACAGATACCAAGGGAGCGAGAGTGGGAAGGGAGGAGAGGAAAATGAGACAGAAAAACAACAGAGTCCAAATCAGGAGTCAGCCAGAACAAAAGAGACAGTGTGGGCAGCGTGGAGGAGGAGGAGGAGAGGAGCTGAATTTCAAAACAGCACATCTTCCAGACATGATTCGGAATAAATGTAGCATCAAGAGGGTCCGGAGAACACGCTCGCCGCTGACAGCTGTCCAGATCCATGAGACGTCTGGCGGAGCGTCTACTTACACGAGGAGTGAGAGTGAGAGCCGGATAAATCCTGCCGGGGAAATCTAATCTCGTCTTATGAATAGCTGATCTCGCCTTTTGATGTGCTGGCACACTATTTGCTATTCACACTGATGTCTGCTGATGTAAACTGCTGAAAAATTCACACATGAAATTGGTCTTGATGTCACGTCTCTACACGAATCATCTTAACAGCGTGAGGAGATAAGTCGCAGATGTATGGACCCCCTGTTCCGCCTCTTACAACCTGATTCAACACGGGGATGGCTTTTGAATGGCCGAGTTAGTGAGTTCTAGTAATTGAATTAGCAATGCTTCCAGAGCTATGGAGGGCCGTTTCTGTAAGCTACTGATTAGCCGGGCTAATTGTCCGTCTGAAGAAGTGTAATTGCGAGAGCTAGGCCCCGTGAAATACAACATGTGTGACTGGAGAGAGGCTTTTGTCTGCTTTGGAGGGCCTTTTCCTTCTTGACGACCCAGCGATAGAAGGGGGAGTGAAGACAAATGTACAGTATACATCTAAACAGTGAGTGTTGCCAAGAGGAGTGTTATGGATAGTGTCTGGAGTGAATATCCACTCATTTAGTCTGTGCTGTATTGAATGGTGAACAATGCCACTGATCCTGCTATTCCCGGTGCTTATTGACTAATGCAGAGCCTCAGAGTAACTCTGAAACTCAGCGTCTGCATCCTGTTTTCCATTCAGCGTGGAAACCGCACGCTGATATTGGATTCTTGCTCTCTCAACGTCTTCTTACATTAACACCATTCCTTAGGACATAGTGGATCCAACAAGCTCTTATTGAGACCACAAATTAGCAAAGATATTTGGGCTGTATGCTCGCAATTATTCAACTATTCAACTGTGCAATACTAATAACACTTTAAGCTGTAATACACTGGCAATTATCTGGCTTTTACTGTGTATATCGTTATTAATACTTATACATCACTACTATATATATTGTAATACACATTATTTGTAAATATTTCTTGTTGTTACATATTGTAGTACGATGCATATTTCACTTATTTCTTTATATTCATATGTATAATATACCTTTTTTTATCTTATTGCTTTTATTGTCTTTATTTTCTAATGTTAATTAGCAGATCTTAATTGAATTCAATATTTTATTATAGATATTCATATTTGTCAGGGAATAATTCGCCCTGCATGTCCTCCTCCTTCGCCCTCTGACGCAGATGCCCAGCCTCGAGCAGCCGCTATCTCCCTTAAGGAGGGGCTGCCCTAGCATGTTGTTGATGTTACCAGTTTATGACCGGGCAACTCTCGGTCAGAGATAGTCATTGTTGTGGGACACCTGGAACACATCCTTCTCGGGGTGTAGATGACCCCGAGCCATAAGCGACAAGAAATGTGATTCAGTATCCTCAGCTGTTTAGTCTATCTATTGAAGGATGTTGATTATTACATTCTGAACTAGTTCAAACCTGGAGGGGTCTTCAGAATTGATTGTGGCATCTCAACCGTGTGGTCAACTCGTGGCTCGTGACATGTCTTGTGAATTCTCCGGCCGAAGCTCCAAATAAACCGTCAGTGTTTGCCATCAAAGCTCCAGCTCTCCTCGTGTCTCTCTGAGTCCTGGCTCCAATTGCTTCAGAAGTTTCCCCCACAATATTTACTTTGTGTATGTTCATATTGTACATACTTCTTATTTTCAAAAATAGTTTTATTCCATCTTATTTTATTCTATTATAATTTCTTATAATGGAGCAACTGTAACAAAACTTAATTTCCACCTTGGGATAAATAAAGTGTTTTAATTGTGTGATTTTTTTTACAATAGAGCATTTGTCACAAAACGTAACTTCCCCACTGGATGAATGTTTATTCCAATGAGACATGTTGGTATAGGAGCAGCATGAAGGTGTGCTTGTTACAAACCAGGTGTGAAAATGGAGCTAATAACTGGTAACTGTGATCCCTGCATTCAACAACGACAAATAATATGATTTGTGGCGCTCACAGACACAGAAAGCAAAGAGAGAGTGGTGCATGCGCTCCATGTACCACTCTCTCTTAATTTTGGCCATTCATCAGCAGCTCTGGCAGCACAATGGAAAATTGAACACAATGCAAATTTACAGGGGCCAATTCATCAGTGTGTGTACACTCTGTGCTGTGGGCCGTGCACGCTGGATAATGACGATGCCAGCGTTGATTCTGGCAGCAAATGATGGTCCGAGGGGCAGAAGGACAATAAGGAACAGATGTGGCATTTAAAGTGGGATTCACCTGTAAATTGAGGAAGGATTTTACGCTTTGTTTTTCTAGCTTTTTGGCTGTGGACGCTCTAAAAGTGTACTGCTGAAGAAGTAAGTCCTTGTCTAAAGTGGAGCAAGGAGAAAATGATCCACCTTTTGTTCCTGACAGTGTTTTCCAGATCAGTGAAGATGAGGGTAAAGGTTAACAGGGAGATGTAGCACTCTTCAGGCGGCAGAAAAAAACCTTTTAAGAGCCAGATATTAACTTCACTCAAGGCCACAGGGAGTTGAGTCATGTTTCACGGCCTGACTCGGCCCACTTCAGACCCCGATTGCAATTCAGATCGAGTGCCTGTGAGCAAGTTCATTTAACGTGAGAGATTTTCTCTTTATGATTCAAGTGCCTTGCTGTCGTGTAAACAGACTAACCTTAACATCTCTAAGTGCCTGAACCCTCTCGACTCCCAAACCCAATGAGAAACACATATAGACCTTGAAATCGTGCAATGATCCCTCTCACTTTTAACAAAGGTGCCCTCTCCCCTTCATCATCTGATGGCTTTTTTTCAGTGTTTTATTATCTCCAAGCTACGAGGGCATTTACTGAGGAGATTATGGTTGCTGGGCTCAGACTTTATCGATCTGCGAGACTCAACTCGATATGTGCAATAGGGCAGTTTAGACCAGTGTTTAGCTACCAGACTGAGTGTCACTACTCTCTAAACCCTCCATAAAACAAGGCTACCACATATTCATCGTTTATTTTCTGCCTGAAAATCATACTCCAACTCAGGGCAGGGAAAGTGGGCGGGATTCATGTTGCCTTCACGCAGCAGAAGACCTTGGCTTTTCTATAAATGTTTCATGCACGCACACACAAGATGAGATCAGCCCGCCATCAATCATATGGTAATTATATCCACCTCTTAAAGCGTGATATAGGCTGTTTGTATTACAGCGGCTGTAAGCCTTGTGCTCTGTCAAACAGTACAGCCTCCCTTTAAGCAGGAACAAATCACTGCCACTGGCCATTATCTGACATGGCTGATGCATGGGGATGGAGGGAAATCACAAAGACAAGCGTGGGCGTAGCTTTTAGCTAGTTTTGCTTCTGCTGGAGAGGAAGAAAAGAACAGACCCTCATGAAGTTTCACAATTATGCAACTTTCACAAAGGGCGCCGGGGCTGCTAACGACTGTTTGTGCTCATGCTTTCTTTGTTCGCTCTGACACTCAGCACCATATTCCCTTGTAAATATATTTGATCAAGCAGCAATGCATGTAATGTGAGTGGAGCAACGAAGCCAGAGGGGGAATCCATTCAACTCTTTCAAATCCAACAACAATAGGAATGAAAAATGTATGCAGCCACAGAAGCAACCTCAGTGCAATTAATCTTCTGTTTCATGCCAGGGTGGGATATAAGAAAGGAGAGAAGCATATTTTTAAAAGGGGGGTGTGGATAAAGGAATAGCTCCTCAACAGTTGAACTTGACTCTGCAATCAAATGCAAAGCAGACACAGGTCATCTTAAATTGGCCTGGTAGGGATTAGCAGGTCTGCTCTCTGGTGTTTCTGGAGATGAGGGGGGTGATTGGGTCGGTGGAATCTCCTCTCTGATTCAGCATCGCCATCGGATGAAACAAAGAAGGAGGGATGATTGGGTGCTCGGGTGGCACGGAGCGGGTGTAAAAAGCATCGCCACTGATCGGCGACAAAAGAGCGGCTCTGCATGAGTCCTCGTGGCTCCGTGGGGGGTTTCTTCGTCTCCTTCTTCTTCCCTCTGTGTGCTATCTGCTCCCTGATTCCTTTGTGAGCGCTTCCCTCCAACTCCTTCCTATCCGACCAATTCAGCCTCTAATTTCTTCGCACCGTTTTTTCTCATTTTCCCATCCCAGGCGGATTTATATCAACAGAGCTCCTTTCCAGTGTCTTTTGTTTCGATCCAACCATTCTTCCCCTTCTCATCCTCTCCCTCTGGGGTTTTCCAGGGAGTAAATGGCAAACATCAAGAGTGGACAAACCCTCAAAGAAGCCTGGCTGCTACCTCCCAGAAAATAAACCCCCTCCATGTGACAATGTTTGGATGGTCACTCAGTGGGTCGCAAAATGCTCCGCTCCACGTGGGGAGGTCTCATAAAAGTGTGATAAAGGCAATGTTTAATATTATTTGGTTTTCTCTCCACCTTGAGAACTTAAAATCACACTTAAGAAGTTGCACGTGATGTTAATACCCCAGTGCTGCATGTCATACACAGTTTCAAATTGGAATTAAACACGCAGGGTTTTTTATGCTGTCTTTACTCGACATCACTCTTCCCTCCGAAGCGCTGTCGAACCAAAACCCAGCGTCACTCCGGCGGATGGGAAGTTGTTGTGACATGTGAGTTGCTAAACCACTTTACTGAAACGGCTTTAAGTTGTGGGAGCTGGCTTCACGCTACGACTATAACACGCTGTTTGTTGGATGTGTGAGCAGACAGTGAGCTCATATTCACTCGGTAAAGTCGGTGATTCAGACTGAGGCAGAATCGGAGAATTAGCACTCACCTGGATCAGTGACAGGTCCTCCAGATTGAGCCTGAAGAGGTGGTTTCTGTGAAATAAAAACAAGAAGGAATGTGTGAGCTGATGGAGACATTGTCTGTGGATGTCACTGGATCACTGCTCTAAGGCCACAGCTCTGTATTACAGTCTCTATCTGTATCGCCTCTCTCTCCTGCTTTTATCTTCAAACCTTTGCCCGTGCGGTGACACCGGTATAAAAAGGATTTCTATCTTCAAGAAGAGAGCATGCCGACGTGAAATGCCTTAAGCAGCAAGTTGGGGGTGAAAACAGTTCAGACGTCGACACACTTAGGAAGAATTTCTACCCACAATAAAACTCCAAAACGTTCACGTACAGCCTTACTACCCAAGTCCTTTAAACTGATTTTGAAGTGCACAATGAGTTGTTTTCTTGTTTAAAAAGATGCAACAGTAGCTTTTAATGTTGATACTACTTAAGGTTGGCATGAGGAGTTGTTAGAGTTTAATCAGGGCTGTATAAAAGGTGCTTAAAAGTGTTAATTTCAGAAACAGTGAGAGAGATGGAAAGAAAATCAAAGCCTGGCGGAGAATCCTCGCTCTGATAAAAGCCCATCCTGCTTTTGCCTTTCAAATTTGCACAACACAAACACAACCGTTTCATCGGCATTTACAACTTTTCAAGAACCATTAGGTTCTAATGAAAGCGCTCTCATGACGAGGATTCTGTTTATTGACTAACGATGTCTCGGCCTGTCTACTAAAACCATTATACACCATTACCCGAATGAGATTACATAAAAACTGACAATTAGGACTGGAAACATTATTTATTGTGACTTCCTTCTCCATTTGAGACTTGTGTGTATCCATATTCTGTACTGTTTGTTCAGTAATAATGTCGGTCCAGAGGAAATTGTCTTACCAGCGGAAGATATTTTTAGAGATTGAAGGATTGCTCTTGTTGGAAATGTGTTTCGCAGGCAGAGTGCATGCATTGTTTTTCCATAAAGTAGATATCTAATTTGAAATCTTCACACGTGCAATCAAACACTTTCTCTGTGATCTATCATTCTCCTGAAGAGTGGCTGCGAGCCAGGTCTCAGTGTGTTACTGTATTGATATTTACATCGATCCCTCTTGCCTTCCATTATCACTCATCCTCCTGCAGCCATCCATCCATCCACACGACACCTCTCACACTCATCAAGTTGAGAAATGAACTCAGTCTCAGCTGATATGTTGTAGAAATGTCTGAGTTGTGGCTAAGACATTCTCAGGTAAAAAAAACGAGTGTGTGTTATACATTATTAATTGAAATGTTGCCAGAAGTTTCAGTGAGATCCCACTCGCCTCCTGACCTTTGCCCTTCATCCGACCGCACACACACTCTCACTGATTAGCCTGTTTCCATCTCAGTTCCCGATGCATTAGTAAATTCCCCGGGCTCTTTGGTTGTGTTTGTGTTGCTGCTCACCTTCCTGCTGCGAGCCTCTCTTATCTCTACTTCATGTTGTGGTGAGTGTTTCTCTCTATTGACAACCAAGCCATTAAGAGAAGTGCACTTCATCTGGAAGCAGCCTCTCACAGTGTGAATGAATGCACCATACAAACACACACACACTGTAATTTCTGTCTATGTATGCATGGACATAGTATAGAAAACACACTGTCATTATAGGCTTTCACACTCATTGTCATCACAGAGAAACTGCACACACACACACAAAGACAATGGACCTGGAAACGATCTCCAAAGCCATTTTCTACGGCCTTTAAAGACATCTTTAGAAACTCATCATTACTCATGCAAAAGAAAGAGAAAATAGGAGGCAAACAGATTGGGTTACCTGGCGCCGACGATCAGCTCGTTCTGGCCGGGGTCAAAGGTCAGCTGGGAGTAATCCACCGTGCCCTCGGCCTTGAACCGGCACATCCACGGCTCCATCTCTGTGAACAAAAGGAAAAAGGACACAAAAAGGTGTGAGCCAATCGGAGTCAAGGACTGCAGATGACAGCTGTGATGATGGCTGTGTTTAAAGTGCTGCTGTAACTTTACTCAAGAGTCTTTACGAAGTACTACACCTGCAAAATGATCATTTAAATATGAATGACTCACACTGTGTTACCTTTCTGGTTCTGGACAATGATCAATTCAATTAAAGCCGGGTTTACAAACAGCAACACTATATCAACACATACGTTTACAAATCGTCCAGTATAATCCAAGTCTCGTTCATACAGTCGTATAATCACTACACATACATTTTCACTAAAACCGTACTGTTTAAAACATTCCTTTATCATGCTTGCACTTCTAACATTGCACAGATGAGCAGTGTGCATGCCTGTTTGAGCGAGAATGCATGTTAGAACAAGATGATTGTATTATTGTAAGTGAAGTATTGCTTTAAACGCTGTGCTTTCTTGTTTTAGTTTTTTAACTACTTTGGTGTTGCTCAGCGTTTGTTATGCAATCTCTAGTCTTGTTGTGTAGGTTTCATGGATGTTATGAGGGTAAGTTCACTGGTGTTAAATGCGGACAAGATGTATATAAAGACTGACTATGCTTTGAGAGAGAAAGCATGAGAGATAAAGTTAACTAAAGGTAAAACAATGTGATAGGAAAATGACGCTTTTGTGGATGAATCATTGCTTTTTAAAGACACTTTTTAGGCAGCAAGTCTTTCCACTGCTTCTTTGTTCTACTTCTTCCCCTTTCTCTCTTCCTTAAGTGATGTGGAGTCACATTTATGATGCAAACTCCAGAGCAATCACAGTTGTGTTTTGCATTACAATGAGTTTTCACCGTCACAACTGCAGAGACTTTAGCCCTTATAGAGCAGTCATTCTGAATTATTGGCAGGTGCAAAACGATATTTCCACATGTCTGTAAAGGTGCTGAAACAGACTGAAAAGGTGGGTCTTATTAAACATAATGGGCTGCATAAAGTGTCTGTGTTCCAGTGCAGTAGGTCCATGATATCATTAACCTTCATCTCAGTTAGTATTTCTTGCTTCTTACTGTAAGACTTCCACTACAATTTCAGAGGGATGATATGTTTTCCTCCACTCCACTACATTTATTATTCATTTTTGATATCGATACATTCATATTCATTTACTTTGTTGAAGTTTAATCTGCACAACCGCACTTATGATACAGTCCAAATGAGCTCAATGTCTACATACAACATCTACTGATCCAAAAATATGACAGTATTACTCTCAGAGGATATTTTTCAGCATAATAAGTACTGCTACTTCAAATACTTTAACTATATTAAACACAAGACAGGTTTTAAGTGCTTTTCTTTCAATAAAGTAATTTCCATTGGGATGTGACAAGTTAGTCCGCCAGTGGCGTCGGTTTTAAAGTAAGAATGCGTCCACTTTTACAGTCTTATATGTTTGAAGGTCTCACTTTTTGTTACAGTTTTTTGCTATTAAAGAGGTTAAAAGAAAGCACATTTCATTGCCTTCTGCATGAGACCCATTTGAAAATCAGTCATAACGAAGTAGATGAAAAGGATATTGAATAAAAAACAAATTGACAGACTGGTTAATACGGTTAAAATGCTCTTAAATAAGTGCTTCTAATGGCGCTTTTCCACTGCAGGGCCTCGCACAGCTTAGTACGGTATAGTTAGGCCAGTTTCCATTACAGTTTAGTAGCTGGGGCAGTAACTATAGTAACGCAGTGTAGGCGGAGCCGTGACGTCATCTTCAATGAGAACCACAAAACCAACATCAGCCGTTAGCTGTTAGCACTCAGAGCTCACAGCTCCTCATATATGTTCAGAAACTAGACAAAAGTGAAACAAGTACAAACCACAGACTGTCTGTGTCATGGAGAATACAGTCGCTGGTTTATTTATGTCTGTATAGGCCGTTGTTGTGAGTGTGGACGGTCGGAGCATACACTGCGTTAGCTTAGCCGATCTCCATTCAGAAAAACACGCATTTTAAAAGGTGTTTCGCCTGCCGTCTGTCTGCAGACTTGTCAAACATTAATTCATGGTTTTTACTAACCGGTATCAGTATGTTGTTACTTCGGCATCATTTAGAAACGTGTATTACAATTAAATCACGGTCAAATATGTTCATTTTGTTGTAGTTGCCAGCGATTCTCTCACTAGTTTAGCAAACTCAGCCCAGTTGTTGGCCCGGAAAGAACCTCGATTTTGCGCCATTAGCCTCCTTAAAACAGAAGTGAGACTTCATCTTACACCTTTTATAAGTGAGTCTAAAAAAACTGAGGAATGTTGATTAACAGCTTTCATGAAAATGTACACTAGACTTTTTATGGAAATTGACCTTGGTACGGGTGGATATAAACACACATGAGGCGGGAGAGAGAAAGAGATATCCCAGACAGACACGGACATCTTATCCTCCACATGCCTCTTCTCATGGCGCCCAACCCTTTAACCCCTGACCAATCGAATAGTGGCTGTGGAGCGATGAGGACGGCCAGTCTAACGCCCGTTACCCGATAGGTTCAGTGCAGGCAATCTGTCTTTATGTCTTTATGGTGATGTGTTCACATGCTCAAACTGAAGCCCGTATAACTTGTAAATAAATAAGTACTGAACCTTCACTATCAAAGAAAATGTCTGGAGCTGCAAAACTTACAAACAAACAAACATTTAACATAACATCACACTCACTTGAGCTTTATAATAATGGTAACACAGCTCAAGCAGAGACTATGAAATGAGTTCTGTTTATCTCTGAAGTCTGAGAATAAATGATTGATTCTTTCATTTTCTACCCCTTACTATCTCCTAAGCTGTCACAAATCTATCTGCTGTAGTGGAGTCTGATCTAATCTCCGAAATCTCTGAGCGAGATACCGTTCGAGGAATGCAATGTGCTTGTTCTGGAAGTCTTTCAGTATTCAATATTTTTTCAGGGCTGGCGCTCTTACTCTATTAGTCAACTAATTGGTCAATTTTCTCTTTTCATATTGAATGACTTATTTCCAAGAAACCTTGCACATCCTCCGAAGCACATCTTTGGTAAACACCAGATTTAAAGTGGTGAATTTTTCTGGAGAAACTCAGATTTGTCTGTTGCAGATCCAGCATATGATAGTAAGAAGATGGGCAGCATGGGCCGTATAAGCAAACCAATCTGAAAAAGCATTAATAATTCCCTATTTTCCTCAAATGCTTTTATTTGGCCTTAGACTCCATTGCCTGCATTGCAAGGAAAACTCAGGACTATCCATCGCTAGGGATGTCTGGCAGAATCTGGAGAACAAGGGGCCAAAACATTGCGTAAGCTTTGAGACTATAGTTGACGGAAATGTTAAACTATGTATTTTATTTAGTGGCTACACATTTGGGGATTGTAAGAATCATTTTTTGGACAATAAAATAGAACTACCTACCAGAAATTCGACAAATATCGGACCTTTCCTCCAGAAATGACTATTTTGAGTAAAGCGCCAGAACCCCTGCAGAGTTTCTAGCTGTGGTTGCCACAGTGATTTAAAATCATCCATCACTACATTGTGAGTTATTTCCAGACTAATAATTTCAAAGGGACTTTCTTAATTTACCAGGGAGCTTTTCCATCAGGGTGGGAACAGAGGGAGAGGACAGCTTTAGTATCCTCTCTCCGCGACACATTACATGCTTCCACAGGCACACCTGTCACACAGCGCTTCAAATGAACGCACGCTCTCCCTCGACTGCATCAAAAGCAGGTCCTTTGGATTCGGAGCCAGACGTGGGATTTCAAAACCAACACAAACAGAATAAGAAAACCAGGAGCTTCCAAAGAGCATCTGCCAGCTCACGTAGAGGGACCTCCGAACAAAACATCATCTGCTGCGAGAAACCACTGTATGCAAAGAGCCCTTTCTCCTCAAATCTCCAGTGACAGGAGGAGAGAATCTCACTTCTTCTGACGCCATGTTTCACTGCGATAATACATTTTCATTAGCAGGTGTGAAATAAATATTTGTGAGATCACGAAAACACTCCACCCCAAAGGTTTCACTTTTGCTTAATGGCTGCAGCTCGGCGTATTCGGTAGGGAGACACAAAGTTTGGGATGTGCCAATCTTTAGGCTCCACTCGGGCTTGTTTTTCACGGAGAGGATCCACTGGAATACAAATGGAGCAGTGACACCCCCCGGGGGGAGACGCCGCTTCACGAACCCAGCGCCTCCTCCATAAATCTCCCTGACTCACCAGGGGAGGCTCGCTAACAGGGTGATGGAGTGTGTGTGAGCGTGTGTGTGTGTGTGTGCGAGACAGAAACAGAGAAGAGAGGATATTTGTTGGAGTGTGGAAAAGGGGGGTTAAGGTTCTAATTGAACATAACAGCACTGAGAGGATGTATGGCCCTTTGTGACGGGGCCAAGGACCATTCATAAACATTCATAACCAGCGAGGGCCCCTTCCAAGGCTGGAGCTTAATATAGGGAGTCGTCTCTGGGGGTCAGAGGCAGTGGCACACTTGGATTAGAAAACACACAGAAGGAGACTGGGTTAGCTTCACCACAGAGAGAGACTTATTACTATGATTTAATTCGTTTTTTAGAAGCATGGTGTTGGTGCAAGAAATAGCGTTGTCTGTTGTTTTAATAGTTTTTGCATTTTTATATTTGTTGTCGTAATTATTGTTATCATACTATTATTTTTTTATCTTATTTATCATCACAATTTCTATTATCATTTTCAATTTCTTCTTTCTTTAATTCATTTTTCACTCATTTTGCCATCTTGGCATTATAATTTTTCCTTCAACAACACATCAGTGGATTAAGGGTGCGTTATCAGTTATTTATTCACACGATTTATCACAGAAAGAAGGTAATAAAAACAGCGACTTATGACAGGAGTGTTGACGGAAATAAGGTTTCGCAGTCTAAAGAGAAAGAAACTCTATTTAAAAGGCAAAGGTAAGGGGTGATAGATGGGACAAAAAACACACAA